CTTTTTCTCCTTAGGCAGGAGCAAAATAATGACTGATATCTGTTCATTTGTTCAGATATACAAAAATTTGACACTAGAGTCTAGGAATGTTGGGGTATTTAAAAACTTCCTCTGAGGTTGTTGATGTACATTCTCTCAGGCATATATTCACACTGGAATTTTCATACAAGTATGTCAAGTTAAGCATTTCCAATGCACACTTGCATTTGAAGTAGAGCATTTAATTTCTAAATTGAAGTGTATATATAAGGTAACCACAAGAAATGTACTTTTTTACAATGTAATTTTGAATATACTTAAGACCAGGCAACTAATGCATGTTTTGCACCTTCCTATCCAGAATCTAGAAACAGAGTTCTGACCTCAGAGCTGGGGAGCTGCGTACTGAGTGCTCCCCCCACCCCAACACAGCCTTCCTAGAAAGAACCACACTGGCAGCTTCTTCAAAATAGGAAAACTGGCCATCTAGCTGAATTGCAGGGTAGGAAGAATGAGAAGTGGAAACCAGCTCCACCACTCCCTTACTCTCCACTGCATGCTCACAAGCTTCCAGGTTTGGAGACTTGCAAGCATCGAAGGAGCAATTTGACTGAATTGTACTTAGTTAAGCTTGAAGCAAACATACTGAAATCAACAAAACTTAAGTTATTCATGAATCTCATTGATTTCAATTACTTTTAGCATGATTAAGTCCAGAATCAACCCATGAGTTATTATTAAATAATAATACATGTATAAATATTTACATAGTTGCCCTCCCACCCTCTAAGATCGGCGGCAGAGGCCCTTCTCCGGGAACCCTCCGTGAAGGATATTAGGTGGGTGAGTACCTGGAGGAGGGTCTTTTCTGCGGTGGCGCCCCACCTATGGAATGTGCTCCCCAGAGAGGTCTGCCTGGCGCCGTCGTTATTCGCTTTTCGGTGCCAGGCCAAGACCTTTTATTTAAATGTTATTTTAATTAACTGTTAAATTATTTATTGCTTTATTTATTGCTCGGATGAATCCAATTTTTATATTTTTGTATATTGTTATTTATTTGTTGGAAGCCGCCCCGAGGCTTATGCGAATGGGGCGGTATACAAGCATTTCAAATAAATAAATAAATAAATATTTATATATGTTGTACCAGACCATCTTATTTGTCTCTTGAGAAACCTATATGTGGGTCAAGAAGCAACAGTGAGAACTGGGCACGGAACCACTGATTGGTTCAAAATTGAGAACGGAGTTTGGCAAGGCTGTATACTGTCCCCCTGCCTATTTAACTTATATGTAGAGCACATCATCAGAAAGCCGGGGCTAGATGAATCACCAGTTGGAATTAAGATTGCTGGGAGAAATATCAACAACCTCAGATATGCAGATGATACCACTCTAATGGCAGAAAGTGAACAGAAACTAAAGAGCCTCTTGAAGCAGGTGAAGGAGGAGAGTGCAAAAATTGGCTTGAAACTCAACATTAAGAAAACTAAGATCATGGCATCCGGTCCTCTCACTTCCTGGCAAATAGATGGGGAAGAAATGGAGGTAGTGACAGATTTCATTTTCCTGGGCTCCAAGATCATCGCAGACAGGGACTGCAGCCAAGACGCTTGCTCCTGGGGAGGAAAGCTATAGCAAATCTAGATAGCATACTAAAAAGCAAAGACATCACACTGCCAACAAAAGTGCATATAGTCAAGGCTATGCTTTTCCCAGTTGCAATGTATGGCTGTGAAAGCTGGACCATAAGGAAGGCTGAGTGCCAAAGCATTGAGGCTTTTGAATTGTGGTGCTGGAGGAGACTCCTGCAAGTCCCTTGGACCACAAGGCAATCAAACCGGTCAGTCCTACAGGAGATCAACCCTGACTGCTCTTTAGAAGGCCAGATACTGAAGATGAAACTCAAATACTTTGGTCACCTAATGAGAAGGAAGGACTCCCTGGAGAAGAGCCTAATGCTGGGAACAATAGATGGCAAAAGAAGAAGGGGCCGGCAGAGGATGATGTGGCTAGATGGAGTCACTGAAGCAGTTGGAGTGAGCTTAAGTGGACTCCGGGGGATGGTGGAGGACAGGAAGGCCTGGAGGAATGTGGTCCATGGGGTCGTAATGGGCCGGACACGACTTTGCGACTAACAACAACAAAATGTTGTATTTGTATGCAATGTTTGTATATTAATGAGAAGAGAAATCGTGCAGGTTTTATTTAAATGTATTTAAAACCTAGCATGTGTCCAGTTTTGAATGCTCTCTTTTGAAACTTATCAGCTTTTAATTTTTAGCCTTCTATTCACCTTCTGAAGTGATAGAGGGCTGGGTGGGGGGAATATTGGCCATGTAGCTTACATTAATGACCGATTTCTAATGTCTGGATTCTGCAGATTTTTCTAAAAAGAAAATTTGTTCTGGAGCAGCAAGTCTCAAGAAAGCACATTCAAAACTGCAGCACTGCAGATTGTCCAAAATACATGCTTCATTGTCCTTCAAGACCATGGATTTTGCTTCTGCTACTGGTGTTAAATTAGCATGCAATGCCACAAAGATTGTTTTAGCACCAATTATCACTTCTGGGAATGGCCTCTGTCAGAAAATCTCAGATTGTACCTCTTCCATCTCACTGTTTACCATTTATTCTCACAATACTAGTGATGAAGAAACCGTGACACACCGAACCTGCATAAACCTTACTTCTAGTCAGCCAGTGCTCAAGGGTACTGGGAACTGTAGTTCAATCATATCTGGAATGCCACAAAATCCCCACAATACTCCACAGTCTAGGCACTGCCACAAATAATTCCCTGTCCCCTGTTCCTCCTAGCCATGCCTCAGTTGATAGCAAGATATATAATAGGCCTTCTCAAGTTGAACTCAGAAGGCAGGTAGTTCACATAAATCTGCGAAATGAGGATTAACACTTCAGGCTTCTGATGACATGGACTCTAATCTACAAAAATCCATACCAAAACAAATTTGCTAGCCTTTAATTTGCTACAAGACTTTCTTGCTTTCATCATATTTTAAAAATGCCCATAAAACACAGAGCATGAATTTAGCCAGCATATATTTTTCTAGTCAAGCTGTGGCCTTCTTTGAGAACCCTAAATTCCACTATCATAACATTTGTTATTGCAGAAAAATAGTAATGGTCTTGGCATCATTTCTGGAACAAGAGTTAGCTCTGTGGATCTTTTTACACTTAGTTACAAAAATCATTTGCATTTCTTGACCACTGGAATTAATTTTGAAATGTCCTTGATACCATTTTTATTCTTATTTTAAGTTGAGGGCTCATTTTACTCTTTTACCATTCCCAAGGGTAGTTTAATTTAAGTCCCACTATTTTCAATGGTTCTACTCTCACTAAGTCTAACACTGGGTACAACCTATAGTAAGAAATATGTGCTTGTGACTTGCCCTGCCACAGGAAAGTAGATACACCCTTCTTTCATAGTACTACTACTGAACACCACTTACACTACATAACATAACACTACATAGTACAGACTAGCTCAAAAACTGATTGCATAGTGCTTTAGAGAATTTTAAACTTGTACACCACCCTGAGAGGGTTTAAAACCAGCCTAAAATAATTATGAATAAATACAATCCAATCTCAAGGCTGGACTACTACAATATGGGATACTGTGGGTTTGCCTTTGAAAATGGTACAGTGGGTGCAGAATGAGGCCATCTGAATGTTAATGAGGTTGAAGTCATTCTGTCCCCTGTACTGCGCCAGTTGCACTGGCTCCAGGTGTGTTTCCAAGTTTAATCTGAAGTGCTGATTTTGACCTTTAAAGTCTTTAAAGGCTTTAGAACCAAATTATTTGAAAGACCACCTTCACCCATGTCACACCGCCTGCACCCTCGATCCGCAAGAGAGGCTCTTCTCATCTCCCCACCTGTAAAAGCACTTAGGTGGAAGGCCACTTGAGCCAGTCTTTTCCACAGTGTCCCCATACCTCTGCAATAAGCTGCCATCAGGCATCCGCATACTTGGAGACTTCTAAGAAGGCCTTGAAAATGTATTATTTTATTTTGGCCTTTTCCTGATAGGCGCACTGTTACTGCTTCTTATGACCACACTGATTTTCTTATATGCATTATGATGTTACACTGCCCTGAGAGACAGCCAAGACATATTTTAAAATAAATTAGTAAATGAATACGGATTATGCAACCCCTTGAGTCATTCCAAGAATAATCTTTATGGTAAGTGCAGAACTGGGGGAGGGGGATGCTCCCACAATTAACGTTAATTCATATTTGCTTAAACCCAGTTTAAACTTCAAGTACTCCAGTAAAAAATTATGGGCTGCAACTGATCAGAGGTTTATCTCTTTTGCTTGTTACTGGGGAGGAGGGTTAAGAAGCTTTACACAGGATATGCGAGATAGGTGGCAGTTTCCTTCCCCTGCCCCAAGACAAAACCAGGATTTCATACTGCCCTGCATTCTCTGCACTACACACACAGAGCTCCGAGTAAGAACAGCAAGCGTGACCGCGGGATTTCCAAGTTCCATTGCATAAATGCCTTCGTCTGGTTGCTCTTATACTAAACTTTATTTAGTGTAAGCTTCAAAAGGTTAAATGGCTGGAGGAAAATAAAGGGAGACAAGTTCAAATTAGGGCACCGTCAGTTTGGGGAGTTAGAAAAAAAAATGTGAGGATGCCACGATTGTAGCAGCCCAAAGAAAAGAAAACGCAGGAGTACAACCATCTCCTCGGCAGCCTGTCGATGGAGGAACTGGTGATAAGGGAGCGCGGTTGTTTTAAGAAAGATTGGGAAGCGGATTGGAAGTGGAAATAAAGCTAAAAAAGAGGGAAGTTTCTTCTTGCACTAACAGTAAACACGACCTTCCAAGTAATTATTTGCACCCAGTGATAGAAAGCCTGGGACCTTAGCTCTCCCCAAACATTAAAGCTTAATATCCCGGAGCTAATAGCACAACGAGGACTATCCTAATGGTGGCCTTGGGGCGCCCGGAGACCGCTAAGGGAAGCCTCAACAGCACCTACCGCCGCTCCTGCTGCTCGTGCTGGTTCTCCTCTCTATCAGCAGAGCAGCGACGCCGGCATCTCCCCTGGGCAGGCACCGCCGAAGAGAAGCTCTCCCTTTGTGTCCCTCCTTCGCCCAGCACCAGCGCGCTGGGCTCCGGCGGCCGCTTCTCTCCAGAGGTTGGCGATGCCCCTCCCTCGATGAGGTCCACGCTAAGCCCGCAGCCGCAGCTTCGCAGACATTGCTGCTGCCCGTCTCCGCTCAGGCTGCTTCCCAGCGTGTCTTTTCATCTTCAGCCGCTGCCGCCGCTGCCGCTGGCATCCTCTGCTGGTTTGGAGGAGTCAGCCTCCGGGAGGCGCCATCAGGTATCTGCGACTGCTGCAGGGCTGGGAAAGCCGGAGACGAGACAACCCAAAAAAGGCTGCGCGCTGCTCTGCAGGAGAGCTCAATTTGTTTCTCGACAGCCGGCCAGGTTTTTGCAATTAACTTCTGGTACCGCTGCAGCAGCAAGTACAGCCTCAAGGCATGTTTACTCTGCCGTTGCCAAGCTAGTGTCCTCCAGATGTGTGGAACTGCATCTCCGGGTCTTCTGAGCTCCATGGGATTTACTCCTCCTGGGTATGTGTGATTGTGGTAGCACAGCTACTATGGTTCCTCCTCCTCCCTGCAATCTGGGTGCCTCCAGATGTTGCAGACTGCAACTCTGGTCAATCCTAGAAGGCATGCCCAAAGACAATGAGCATTTTGCTCCAAAAATTTACCGAGAGGATAAAATAGTTTTGGGAAAGCCACTGTAGAGGGCTTCTTTTCACATTCTAGAAGGTAGAGGGAACCTCTTTCTAATGTAGTTTTTCCTTCTGAGAGGCTTTTAAATATGGTGGTCATGTGTGCTCAGTACAGTTGGCAGAAGTTGAACCCAAACAGACCCACATATGTTCCTTTACAAGTATAAGTTGATTGACCCTATTTTATATTTATACATTATGTCTGCCTCACTCCTCCATAACAGGCTCCTCTAGTTTCTTACTTACCTAGCTTCATTATTTCCCTCCATCCTTCAGTTACTGTTTACACATATTAGTTCAGCTATTTCTTTTCGTGGCTGCTTCTGCTGTCCTTGCCAGCATTAATAGCTAGACCTTTTGTAGTGAGGCACTGACAACAGCACTAAGTTCAATAGATCCCAGTAATATCATGTTGGGAAAATTCAGATAAATCCATGTAGAAAATTATGTGTGCCTTTCTGTTATAAAATCAAAGCTGCAATGTCCTTGCCTCTCTCTCTCTCTCAAAAAGAACCAGAATTCCAAGAAAGGCTTCTGTGAGTTGTTTCTTTAAGAGACAGAAGCTACATTTGTGGTAGAAGGACCTCCCAAGGAAAGTTAACCCCTGTCTATTCTTATGCTAACAGCAACAAAACTGATAAGGTGGCCAGTCCAGTTTTCCTAGCAGTATTGCAATCACCCTAATTTACATGATCAAACCTACAGCTAAGACCGACAATAATCCCTCCCTTCCTGATTGACATAACAATCTCCTGTAATCAACACTATTGCACTGAGTCCTCTCTGCAGAAGTCCCACATTCTTTTGACTGTGTTTCTGTTATTTCATCATCATCTGCCCTGCAGCTGTGTATGTGACACAGAACCTATAAAACACTCTGTATATGTTCTGAAAGCTTGTAGGTGGCTGTGAGGACCACTACCTGGGAGCACACTGTCATTAGTTATTGTAGGGGACTGGGTCATCTCACCAATAAAACCGCTGAAGTTCAAGACAGTTAGGTCTTCCTGGCGGATCCAAGTGTTCATTCCTCATGACCGGAATTCCAGGACTCTGATAATCACCATGAGCCACATTTTGACCTTTAACTATTTAATACATTCAAGCTCTTCCCAAAGAACCTATCCTAATAAATCACTGTACCTATTTCTTTTCCTTTTAGATGCCTCAGAAGTACAATTAAAGGTAAAGGTTTCCCCTTGACATTAAGTCCAGTCATGCCTGACTCTAGGGGGCGGTGCTCATCTCCGTTTCCTAGCCGAGGGAGCCAGCGTTTGTCCGCAGACAGTCTCCGTGGTCATGCGGCTGGCATGACTAGACACCAAAGTGCACGGAACGCTGTTACCTGCCCACCGAAGTGGTACCTTTTCATCTACTTGCATTTGCATGCTTTCGAACTGCAAGGTTGGCAGGAGCTGGGATGGAGCAACGGGAACTCACCCCATTGTGCACATTCGAACCGGCAACCTTTCGATCTACCAGCCGAACAGCACAGTGGTTTAAACCACTGTGCCACCTGCAGTCCCGAAGTACAATTAGTCTGTGTTTTAAGCAAGACTTACTTTCATTTGTATTTTACTATTGTTAGGCACCTTTACTGTGGAAAGGTGGGATATAAATTTAATAAACACAAGCGCGCACGCACGCACACACACACTCTGTAGGAACCAACTCTCCAGCCTCTATGCATATCAGTGAGGAGCCCAAGCTCCTCAGCAACCAGTGTATGCAGGCATCCCACCTCTGGCAAAGGGGGTAGCACAATGCCAGCTAGGCCAGTAGTCTCTCTCATGAATCGGTCCAATACATTTTTAAAGCCACCCGGACGAGTGGCTTTCAGCACTTCCCATGGCAGCAAATTTCATAGTTTCATAGCCTGAAGTACTTCCTTTAATCTGTCTTAAACCTCCCACCAATCAGCTTCAAGGGATGACTTCGGATTTGAGTGTTACTGGAGAGGGAGACCAATGTCTCCAAATTGTTTGAAGCCTGTCAGTTGTCTTTGCCAATGCATAATAGCTTACTGGAAGAGGGAAGTGTGATCCTTATAATATGGAGTGTAAGAGTATGTCTCCTTCCCTCTGATTTAAATGTAGGTGTTTATATTGTTTATGCTTATTACAAATATGCTTGCAGTGCCTGGTATGACAGGAGTATGAGAGATGTAGCAGTAGAAATTCCTTTCAGCCATCATGCTTAACTATGGGTGATAGACCCACTCAATCTTTCATTAATGTCTCTAAACTGGTACCCATCTATCACATTTTGTGGTAGCATATTTTATAACTACATAGTTTACAAGAAACACTTTGGTCTGTCATTGTAGGAGTGAGTAACTTATGGCCCTAACAACTCATCATCCCTCATCTTTAGTTATGTTGGCAAGGGCTGATGAGGCTGTAGGCCATAACATCAAGTTGCCCATGCTGACCTGTCTTTTAGGGGCCACCCACTTACAATGCAATCCTCTTGTACTTGCCTCAGAGTAAGTCCCACTGAATTTCTGAGAAGACATGTATACAGTTGCACCATTAGCATCTTTCCTTGTGTGGTTCTGCAATTAGAACTAAAACCTTCTTATTCCAAGTGCTTTCTGTTGTTCTGCTGTTTTGCTTTTGATTAATTTTGTTGTTGGGAATGGTTGTTTTCTTTAGATTATTTTAAATCTTTATTGCCATTTTTGATGTTACAGATCTGTCTGAAGTTCATGGAGGACATACTATATAGATCTTCCTGTAAATAAATAAGAATAAATCTGCAGACATGAAGTCAAATCCTGCTCTGGAGCAAGCCAGGTTCTGTGGACTTACTCCCATTTAGAAATGTTTTAACCACTGTCCCAGCTCCTGTCAACCTTGCAGTTCGAAAGCATGCAAATGCAAGTAGATAAAAAGGTACCACTTCGGTGGGCAGGTAACAGTGTTGTCATGCCGGCCACATGACCACGGAGACTGTCTGGGGACAAACGCTGGCTCCCTCAGCTAGGAAACGGAGATGAGCACCGCCCCCGAGAGTCAGGCATGACTGGACTTCACGTCAAGGGGAAACCTTTACCTTTAACTCACTTTTCTTTTTAAAATGGTTGTTTTTACTGCATCAAATATTGAAGGGCAGCAGATACTGGTTTAAAAAACACCATCAGGTTGCAAAAATAGCACAGAAGGGATAAAATGTAGGTTGTCCTGGGTTCCTTGGAGAAAAGGCAGAATATGAATGTAGTAATAAAAATATGTAAATTGAAAATGTTCCCTCAGGTGGATCCTTCACAGAAGTTTCCATTTAATTTTAAACTCAAGGCAAACGTTTCATTTAAATATATCATATGCAAGAAAATGTTTTTCGATCAGATAGATGAAGGAGTTATGAAAGATGTAGTTTGGTATCTTTATAAAACACTTTCGTCGGCCCTATTAGCGTATTTAAAACCACGCTCGTAAGCTGCCCTGAGTGCACTCAGAGCGACCCTTGACTTCACGGCGGTTTATCGGCAATAAAGAAGCGCGAAAGAAGGGCGCGCGCGTGTTTGCGTCACCACGCATCGATTGCGTCATAGACAGAATTCAGACTTTCTACAGACGCGGACTATTAGAGAGTGCATCTTGCGGATTTTTGAGCCCTTCCTTCCTTTTTTAATGCCCGGGGCGGAAGTGACTTCTGCCCATGGCGAATGATAGAGAAATTGAGGTTTTCAGCGTGGCCGTGAGAGGGCAACAGCGTTTCTTCCCAAGCAACAGCAGAAACTAGTACCAAAAGAATTAATGCTGCTCCTCTTATCTAGCCTTATTTGCATGAGAAATGCAGTTTTTATTGGTCTTTGATTTTAAACATTTGTCGGTCCGGCGTTAATGCACGCAAATCAACAGAACACAAGACTCCATGCAACTGAGCGCTCGATTTCTGCTGAATATTGAGTCCGAGGGGGTCAATTTAAGTAGACTGACTTTTCCAATAACTCAAACCAGCCTAAGCCCCACCTCTCACCTGTAATATTACAGTGGTTTACATTGCAAGGTGGTTGTATGATATTGTCTTACTCTTCTCAATTTAACATGGGGATGTTGGATTGTGCCGGGGTTAGAAGAGTAAAAGTAAGAATTCATGTTTTCTTAGCTTTATATCCTGCGTTTCCTCCAAGAAACCCAAGATGGGACCTCCATTTATTTCTTGACAATAAATAGTTATATATAATAAATAGTTATATATAGTTGATAGTTAGATCAACCTTCCCTAGCCTGATGCTGGTTGTGTACGGGATACCGCTCCCATTATCCCACACTGCTGACTGGGGGCAGGCTAGGAGAGCTATAGTTCAACCCTGGAGGCAGCAGGATGGCACCGCGACTAACCCGAAGGTGAGAGGAGGACAGGGGGCGGAATGGAACCAGGAAGTTCCTTGTCCAGTGAAAATATTGCGAGTCTCAAGTTTCCTTTCTCTATGGGAAACAGCGAACGTCGCTTAGCGTCCGTGCGTACTCCAGGGAGGAAGTGTTGAGGGTTAGGGCGCATGCGCGCTTTGCTCGCGTTCTCGCGCGTCGTTGCTCCTGCGGGCCTTTCCTTTGGGCTTGTTCGCGCGGGCGGCGAGACTCTGCCCGGTCGGTAGGCCCCGTCGCGGCGGTGAGGGAGGGACTGAGCGAGTCGGGCTGAGCGCGATGTCGGGGGCCACGGGTGGCGCGGCGGGCTCGGCCCGAAAGCGGCTCTTGAAGGAGGAGGACATGACCAAGGTGGAGTTCGAGACCAGCGAGGAGGTGGACGTCACCCCCACCTTCGACACCATGGGCCTGCGCGAGGACCTGCTGCGCGGCATCTACGCCTACGGTACGAGCGGCGGGCGAGGGCGAGGGCGCCGACGCGCGCGGCTCCGCCGGCGGAAGTGCCGGGGGCGTGAGCGGCTCTTTCGGCTCCGGCCGCATCGCCGAGGGGAAGGCTCGGGTCAGAACCGGGGCCAACCGGCGCGGCCTCCGGACGGCTTCCTGCCTGAGGAACGCCGTCCTTAGAAGGCCTACTGCGCTCAGCATGCCCTAGGCTGGGGCGCGCTGGGAGTTGTGGGCCCTTTTCGGGCTGAATTTGCATCGGATTGTGTCTTCAGCAGCCGGGAGGACGCTGGGTGGCTGAAGATCCCCTTGATGGTTTTCACATTTACGCTATATCGGCATGCTTGGCTTTGCTGGCTGAGGACGATGAGGAGTGGTTTTCCAGCTCGCCTGGAGGATGCCCATTTGGTTCAGGCCGCATCAATTGTTTCCACACTTTTACTTACTATATTTATTATTGTATTTATATCCCACTTTTTTCATTTCAAGGAACTCAAAGCAGCCTAAAGCATTCTTTCCCTCTCTATCTTATTCTCACAACAAAAACCCTGTAAAGTAGGTTAGGCTGAGAGTCAGGGACTGGCCCAAACCCACCCAGTTGGCTCCATGGCTGAGGAGAACTGGAACCCAGATCTCCTGAGTCCCAGCCCCATGCTCTTAACCACTGCACTGCACTTAGTACTACTACATCCACGTGCCAGTTGCTACCTTGCATCTTCTGTAAAATGTGGCTGCCAGCTTAGATACCTGTGGACAAGTTCATGGAGGACAGGACAGTCAATGGCTAGCATATGTTTTCTTTGGGATTAGCACCAAAATGCGTCTCAGTTGCTGGTGTAAATGACCAGGAGGTTGCTATTGCATTCATGTCCTTCTAGTGAGAGAATGTGGGAACCTTTTAAATAGCTTCCCCAAAATTACTAACTTAATTGATAATTAGTTAGAAAATTACTGCCTTGAATAAAAACATTCTGTTCAGACCAGCAGTCTGGTCACATGGTGGCATGCAAGCTGCCAACAGGATCCCTCAAACAGGATGCATACAAGAGTTCAGCTTGTTCACACTGAAGCAACTCGTATATGCAGGCACGCACATTTTGATAACAGAGGTGGTTCATAGTCTTTTTCTCTATAAAACTTCCCAGTCTCCTTTTAAAACCATTCAAATTGGTGACCATCACTACTTCTTATGATAATGGATTGTATAATGTAATTATACACTGTGTGAAGAACTAGTGCTTTATTTCTTTCATAAGTCTCCCACCATTCAGCCTCATAGGATGATCCTGAGTTCTATTATTGTGGGAGAGAGTAAAATGCTTCCCTCTCCACTTTCTCTGCACCATGCATAATTTTAAGCACATGTATAATTTTGATTACATGAGATTCAAGGCATTCTGCAGCATGTAGTAGTGGTTATCTGTGGCTACTGAATTAGTACTGAAATATAAATTTGGGATACAGTGCAGTTTGCAATTGGGACATCACTGTTATATTTAGCAATACCACAGGGATGTGTTTCACTGCTTACATTTGCTGGGAAAGGCATAGACAATGTTTGCATTATGTGTATGACAGGTCAGAGAGTTATTGATTAGTGGATTGTTGTATGAACCCAGCCACACTAACAAGCCATAGTTTGTTGACCACAAGCAACCCACAAAGAGAACCTGACCTGGTTACTGGTTTGTAGGTAAAACATAACTGTGTTGGCTGCCACTTTATTCTAACTCAGCTACTTTAATCACAGTGGATTCATGTACTTTTTTTCAAAGAAGCCACCCTGAGAAGCTTTGGGCTCTTGTAGAATTTGTTTTACCTATTAGTGTTATCTGAGCCCAGTTGGTTGATCACCCCATGGCTATAGGCCAGCAAGGAACCAGGTGCTAATCAAGAGCGGAAGGTGGGGACCTGTGGCATGCTTGGTGATTTTGCCTGTGCCACCACCAGTGGCAACCCCTTCAAAAAGCACATTGGAGGGGCTGTCACTTTTAAATTTAAAGTGCACTTGAATTTTTAAAGTGACAGCCAACCTCTTTTAATTTATTATTTTATATTCCAAAATAGTTTTAAAACACTTACCAAAGGAATTACATGTGGGGGAAGTTTTAAAAAATAGCCAATCAGTGACAATTCCTCCAGCGTGCCACTTGGACACTTCAGAAGAGCTGTCACTCACTGTCATATTGATGATTGTGAAAGGCAGTCTCCAAAAATGGTAATCATTTAAAGGGAAAATACTGTGGTGAGCTAGATGGAGAGGAAGACAAGTTTGCTTCTGTCTCATTTTCCCTAGGATACTGACTGGAGGGTAGAAAGGGGAGAAACAAAGCATGTCGAGCCCAGTTATTTGCCAGGTGCACCGCACAGTATTCTCACTCTTCTCAACCTGCCCACTGTGGTTTGTTGTTGGTTGTAAACTATGTTTTGTTTCTTGTGGGTTCTTGTGGGGGGGTTCACACAGTACAACCAGCAATTCAAGGACAACCCACATAGCCATACTCTGGCTTGTCATGCTGTGTGAACATGTGCGGCCATGGCTTTCTGATGTCTCTGTACCACACATACACATGTCATGGAATAAGTTAGGATCTAAACAAGGGTAACCTGTTAGTTCCTAGACTGAAATGTTTTCTGCATAGCAACGTGGTATGTGGGACTCTTCAGCTCTGGAAGTTGCAAGCTCCTGATAGTGGCTTAGATTGAGAAAACTGATGTGCATGGAATGGGGGACTGGCTTTATCTCCTTACTTGGGGAAATAATCTAAGGAGATAGACTTGATTGTCTTGGGTTTAGCATCTGCTACATTTATCCAAGAAAACTGGGCTTTGATATTCCAGCACATATTTAGAAGTACAGCACATTATATTTAAAATTTACATAAATACTTAGAATTGGGAACCTGAAAATAACAGGATACTGTGATACAGGTTTGAAACTGTGACCCAATTTTTAGTTGCCAGTGCAGTTTAGTTGCCAGTTGCAAGGACCTTGCCTTAACCCTTTTTTTCTGCTGCTCCTGTAACATCAAACTAGGCTTCCTCTTTCTGACCACCTGATTTTGTGCTTTATTGTGGGGAGGTATTGGTTCATGAATTTAAGGATGTGAAATGTTTCTGAAATATCATTGACTCCCTATATTTCCAGATGATTCATGTTGACATCTGTCACTTCTTGTTCCAAGTCTCCTCCTGAGTTGCTGATACTGTTACTCTTAAATGTAGTATGTGCTAACAGCTCCATTGTTTGATCTTTAAATGGTTGGATAATTCCAATATTGCCTTGGTTAATGTTTTGGGACACAACTTTTAATTGGAATGGAAATCTGACCATTTTTTAAAATGTATTTTCCAGGCTTTGAGAAGCCTTCAGCCATCCAGCAGAGAGCGATCAAACAGATAATTAAAGGAAGAGACGTGATTGCACAGTAAGTAAAATTGTACACTGAACAAAAGGTCTGAAGAACTTAGTTTGACAATGAGAATATAAAAGAGCAATCCTGTGTTCCTTGGAAGATCATCCCAGGGACTATAGAACAGCTCAAAAGTCCAGCTGAGGTTGAGAATGAAAATGATATTGTAGCCTTCAAAAGGAGGAGTTGAAGGTTTTATTCTAGGCCTTCTCATTGCAACCATTGCCAAGAGAACTGTGCTGGCTGGCTGCCCAAGGTTGAAAAAACCTCCAAGCAGGGAAGGGGGCATTCAGGTGGGTGGGGGACAGTGGAGATCAGAGAGGTCCCGATATGAGCCTCATCCAGCTTTCTTTCTTTCTTTCTTTCTTTCTTTCTTTCTTTCTTTCTTTCTTTCTTTCCACTCTGATGTCCCCTCACTAGCAGAAAGACTGAGGACAGAGAGATGGAGACAGCATCTGCTGCTTCTCTTGTTAGTTTCAGCCTAGCAGAGCACAGGAAGCTGGGAAGCTTCAGACCTGTAAGAGCACAATTAGTAGGGCTGAACCCAAATTGGTTCTTGTTTGTATATGATCATATACAATAAAGGATTAACATCTTTGGATGCCAAGGACTCAAGCAAGTTAACAGTGTAACTCTAAACCTGTATCCACAAAAGAGGATGCAAAAGGTCACAGGGACCTCCTCTGTAAGAATGCTCTGATAAGTCCCACTACGCATAGGTGATTACCTGCCATCAGTTACTGGGCGGTATATAAATGAATTAAATAAAATAATAAAGTTATCTCTGGTGATATTTGGAGGGCTTGGTCCAGTGCCCTCCGTGCTCAGTGCATATAAGGCTCCAGTGCATGCGGTGAAGCACAGCCACGAGCCATCTTTGCCAGCTTGTGCCCCGCGTTTATCTTCTTGCTAGTCTAGATGAAGTGCAGTGGAGGGGGGAGGTGGCAGGGGCACCAGTCCACTTTCCTCCTCCCCCACCCCACCAGCATACCCCTTTTCTTCCTGTATGAGGTTACATTTCCAACTTCAGAGAGGTGACCAGTGCAGTTCTTTCTGCACTAGCTGCAGGAGTGGGTAGAGCAGGCAGTCTGCATTTAGCATCACAGCTTCAAGGTCACAGGACCTCAGAGCTGGGGCTCCCAGTAATCCTGTGGTCCCCCTACACTTGACAATGTTGGCAGGCCAAAGGATTACTTTCTGACTTATTCTTTGTTTAGATACTGGTATTAAAATATTGTGCTTTTTTTTAGATCACAGTCAGGAACAGGCAAAACAGCAACATTCTCCATCTCCGTTCTACAGTGTTTGGACATCCAGGTAATTTTGGAACATAAATGTTTTCCATTGTGAAGATGGGAGCGGCATCTTAACTGGACATGGTATTTCATTTCACGATGCTGATACTGAACAGGGTTCCTCTTCCCCCCCTCCCTCAGTTGAGTGGAGATTGGGCTGTTCTTGATCTTGGGACACTTAGATTTGGAATACCTGTTAAGAGGCAAGGACTTGCCACATTCATTGTATCTCACTCTTTCAATCAGGTTCGTGAAACTCAGGCATTGATTTTGGCACCTACTAGAGAATTGGCGGTACAAATTCAGAAGGTAAGTGAAAATTATGCAAGAGCGTACAGTACAGAAATGGAATGGGGCAGCCCATCAGACCCTGTAAGAGCACTGCCCTCCTCTCTTTGCTACAAGCAACAACTCAGCAATATCAATTTTTTGGCTTCGGGTGTTAGGCGGACGCATCAGTGCTCTGTGGGTAAGCCTCCCCTTGGGATGCTGAATATGAAGGTCTTTAGAGATAATATTTAACAAGTTGCCAGTGTCTTCCTGATTTAAATTCTGTTAGTCAACCACTTGTTAACAGCACTATCCCAAGAATTAGCACCTGAAGCCCTTGGGCAAGATCCAGAGCTGCAGCACCCAGGAATGGCTCACTGCTTTGGGGCCCATTAGACTTTTTTCTCTCATAGCACTGTGTGCAGCACTAGATACCTAGATCCGCGGGCTATCCTTTTTATTTTCTCAAGTACCCTGAGGAAAAATAGGTGGCTAGACAGAGCTGCACCACACTGCTTGGAGTTCTGTTGCCCCAAGCAGATAAATTATCACTGACAAAGAAGGGGACCCAGCAGAGAATACCTGGGGCTACCTCAAACATGGAAACCATTCCAATCCAAGTAGCTGCAAGTTCCAGGGCATGGTCTGAGGACCCGTGATGTGGCATCCTTGCTGAAGCCAGGCAGGCTTGGGTCTGCTCAGTGACTGAATGTGGACCCTTTGTATACCACCTCGAGTTCCATGTTGGAACAGAGATGGTATGTAAATGCAGCAAAAATGAACCTCATCATTTAACGCTTCTGTATTTATTACAAGAGAACAGAAATAGCTGTGTAGGAGCAGAAAACTGTCAAACACCTGCATACAGAGGCTACTGTTAGGAGATGTTATTGCTGCTGTTAGAATTCCTGGTTCAAGTTCAGACTGTGTGATACCTTTGATTTCCCTTCAGGTTGTTAATGCTCTTCTTTCCTGCAGGGGCTTCTTGCTCTTGGTGATTACATGAATGTCCAATGCCATGCATGTATTGGGGGAACCAATGTTGGTGAAGATATCAGGAAGCTGGATTACGGACAGCATGTTGTAGCTGGCACGCCTGGCCGTGTATTTGGTGAGGAGATGGTTAACTTTGCTTGCTACCAAGAAATTACCTTAACGTTTTGTGCAGCGGTCTATATTTATTTCATTGCTCAACTTACTTTTCAGTCCACAGTTCTTTTTCCTAACTAGAAACTACTGCCATGGTTTGTTTGTTTGTTTGTTTGTTTGTTTGTTTATGGGACTTCTGTGCCACCCCATTCGCCGAAGCCTCGGGGTGGCTCACAACCATAAATAAATAGAATCCAATAAAACAATATAAATTAACAATATAAATTAAGTCGCCCTGGCCAAAGAATAAAATGAATAAATAATATTAACAATTAACATTTGAATAAAAAGGTCTTTGCCTGGTGCCGAAAAACAAATAACGACGGCGCCAGCGGACCTCTCTGGGGAGCGTATTCCATAGATTGGGGTTTTCTAACCCCAGTCCTCCTGTTTCTTTCTTTAAGGTTTGAACCATCTGTGGAAGAACCTTTTTGTCATTTTAACACACAGGAGTGGCCACTTGGTGGCTCCCAGGACACATCTGGCTCCCATCCTAGCTTCCAGTTTCCAACTCACATAAGAGTTTGGAAGAGTGCCTTTTGCCTGAGCAGAGCTACTCTTGGGCATCTTTCTCAGACTTCTGTCCACTTTTCATGTTGTGATGAGAAGATGCCTCAGGAACCTCTTGGATGTTCTCCCATAACTTTTAGAAGTCTGCTTCCGACTTACGGAGCACGCAGCAATAGTGCATGGTGTTTCCCAGCCTCATACAAGTCATGCTTCTCCAGCATGTACCCACACAAAGTGAGAGAATGCCTCTCGGTGCTAGAAATAGCCCAACCCAAGAGTGGCTCAGGCTGCAGGTCACTCCATTGTTAAGCTTTTCTAGTCATCCATTGTGATTACTCTTACGTTAGATGGCAGGATTTAAATTTTTCCTGATAGTACTCAAGATAAATTTCAGAAATTATCAACAGATGAACCTAAGAAGAGTCATGGTGGATGAGACCAAAACTCCAGACTATTACCCGTTAATAGCCTTACTCCCCAGGTTGAACAATAGCTTCTAAATAACCTAAGATAATTAGTATGGTATGGATTCTGAAAATTAAATTTCCATCTTTTATATAACTGGATTAAAGTAATAGAAATAATTTTGCTCCAGTGAACATTCTTGAAAAAAGAAGAAAATCAGGGAAAGCTACCCTTTTTCCAGATACAGTGCTATAAGCCAGATATGGCACTAGCTGCTGTACAAAAAAACAGCAAGATGTGAGTTTTCTAAATGGTGAAAACTTGCTTCAGCAGTAGACTTCTACCCTTTGGCACAAGTACAAGTGTACAAATACAATGCAGGAAATGGCTTTAAGGAAAATTAGGAGTGTGCAGTCTTAACTACCATTGCTCTTAATAGATTTTGTCAACCCAGACCAGTCTACTTTTGATGCCTGGGGGTGCTTTAACATGGCCCAGAACTATTTGGAATGATCTCCCCTTTTATGAGCCATCAGCCTGCAGGACAAGAACTGAATCTCAGTATCTTTGCTTGATCACTCTTTCATGATACAACCCTGAAATCTTTCAGATATGATTCGTCGCAGAAGTCTAAGGACTCGTGCAATCAAAATGTTGGTTTTGGATGAAGCCGATGAGATGCTCAATAAAGGTAAAGAATGTGTTTCCTTCTGAAGCCTTAGTTCCATATTTTAAATACCAATATGAAAAACTCTTAAATAAAAGAGGGAAAGTTTACTTGGTGAAAGAGTTTAATGCAGATTTGCAGTTAAATAGTGCCTATGGAAAGTGGTGATTATTTGCTTTGAGTAACTTCTCAGATCAATAATTTCAGCCAAAGATAGGCAACCAAGCGCCCTCTGGCTGTTTGGATTTCATCTTCCATAATGCCTGACCGTTGGTCATGTGGTTTCAGTCATATCATTGTACCACAGAAAACTGGAATTGTCTTGTAGACTTTTTATACATAACTTGCATAAGTCTATTTGCCTTAGGTGAGCCTTTTTCAGAGCCAAGTCTGTGGTTTTCTGTCCTGCAAAGACTTGGAAACCCTGCTCAGGTTCATTGCAAGAATTACTAAAGACTGCAGTTCCTTATGAAGCAACCTATAAGTAGATTCTAGAATCAGTGATGTACGACAGTGAAAAAACAGATACGTATTTGGCAGGTAGACTGGCAGTAGCCCCACTCAGACTGATGCCACATGTCATATAATGTGCTGTTCAGTGTGCAGTGTATAACAAATATGCCTGCACATGGCCTTTTTGAGATTGGAGGGATGAAGCAACCTGGGAGAATAATGGCTGGGATCCTCTTCGTTGACTTCCATAGTCACACACTTCAAAAGCAGGAAAAGCTGCTCTTTTGAAACTAAGGCAAAGTTTTGCTTCATAAGTACTCTATGCCCACACAGTTTGCCAGGTGTTATTAAGTGCAAGATGAAGCAGTCAGCTGCATGCCACGTATGCCTTGTTTAAGCCGTGTTAAACAGTTTGTGCAGTTCTTGTATGAGGCACGGATAAAAGAAGCTTGGAGTAGCCTTGTATAAGTGTATTTGAAGTGACAAACAGGCTCCTGTAGTTCAGATCAGCAAAGAACAAGGAAGCTTCCAAACTCTAATATATGCTCGTTTGACCTATTTAGGATTTAAAGAACAAATCTATGATGTGTACAGATACCTTCCACCAGCCACACAAGTAGTCCTTATCAGTGCCACCTTGCCCCATGAGATCTTGGAGATGACCAACAAATTTATGACTGACCCCATCCGCATCCTGGTAAAACGGTTAGTGTTTTCACAACTTTGATTTTTCCATATTAGTAGTTTTGGGTACAACCACACTGATAACACTTTAGATCAAAGTTAGAACAGAGGGCTTGTTTGAATGAATTTCATTCTGTTCTTCCCAATCCCCTAATCTGCTGTCTAAACTATCTTCCTTAACTATAAGTTGCAAAGTGTATAAAATTGGAAATGTGGCCATATTGTGCTTTCCAAAGATGGGCACAAAAAGGCTTTACATTTAAATATTTTGCATTTATATAGTATAGAGGTCTCCAACACACTTGGGTCTGTGAACATTTAGAAATTTGAGACACTATCTGGCACCATCAGAAAATGTCTGTCTTGACAGTGTGTCCATTTACAAAGGACAATTAACACTCAGCAGTTAGCTCTAGCCCATTCCCTTCTGCATCAACAGGAGCCCACTTCACAGAAGACAAACTCTTTCTTTCTGCCTCCCCTTCCCAATCTGCTCACCAACTAATTGCCTTCATCTCTGATAACCAGCATACATGCAGTCTTTCTTACATCATAGCGCTCTCCCTCCCACCTACCCAGAACCCTGGACCACCACACATACATTCTCTCAGTCTTGATGCCTGTGCATACCTGTGCTTTCTCTCTCTCTCACCCCCGCCCACTGCCTCTTTGCATACATACACAGGTCTTCCATGTATGCACCATTCATGCGCACACACACACACACACACACTTTAAATTCCCTGCTCTTTTTAGCTCCTCACCCTTCCCTTTCACAGCTTATCAAAGAGCAACAAGGGCCTCTGCCCCTTCTTCTGGTGGCAGGGCGTACTTCAGAGGAAAGCATCTGTTTGCCTGTCATTTCCTAAGAATGTATCTGAGTTTGAAGTGCAGCCCAGAAACACTCATGGGAAATGAAGATGGCAGCAGTTGAAAGCTCTCACCTCACTTAGAAATGATCCCTGAAGCTGGTAAAACACATTAAAATAAAAATAGAATGGGCTGTGTCTTGGTGAACCCCAAGGAAGGTGTCTAGTAACACTAGAATATGGTTTAGCTTTATGTGGGAACTTCCTAGCTCGTGTTCTTCATATTTCCCGTTCTCCTTATCCTGTTAAACCAAAACCAGCCAGTGTTAAAACTGAACAAAATGTGCTCTGAGTTTTCAGTTGTGCTGGCAATTTAATAGTTATTTATTTTGTGTTTGTTTTACTTTTATTCCACCTTTTTCCTGCAAAGAATCCAAACAGTACCCATAATCCTCCACCTGCCCATTTTATCTTCAGAATAGCTCTATGATGTAATAGGCATTTCTTACATATCTGAATAAACTAGAGAATAACTCCACATTTTAGAACATTGTGTTTTTTAAATTAAGTAACAGGGAAGAAAAGAAGAAAGGACCACAATCAGTTGAGCCAAGAGATGAGCAGCTTCTGGTTCCTCCTTTCCTTGAATTGCTTCCATTCTAGCTGGACATTGTTAAAATACTGTAACTAAGTGCTAGTGCCTTTGCTTTTTCCTCTCTTCCTCTCAGTCTTTTTGTGAAATGTCCTTTAGATGATAAATCTGGGGACAGGAACTGTCATATTCCTAGTAAGCTTTTTTCTGAGCATTTTGGTTGAAGCATGTGGTAAAATGCTTTACATGAACAAGAAGTATGTTTTCCCCTTCTCTGACCAGTGATGAATTGACACTAGAAGGGATCAAACAGTTCTTTGTCGCAGTGGAGAGAGAAGAATGGAAATTTGATACTTTGTGTGACCTTTACGACACACTTACCATCACACAAGCAGTCATCTTCTGTAATACTAAGAGAAAGGTATGTAAGCAAGCAACAAGATGTGATGGGTCAGGCTATGAATAATTCCTATGGGGACTAACAAATTGGCAGGACTAGCTCAATCCAGAGGAAGTTAATGTTTTCCTGTGTTGCTCTGTCACGGGCCTAGTTTATGCATAATAGTGCATATTTAACCCCCAATTTGTTGGTTGGTGTATCATCTCTTCTTGCATAATCATCCTGCATTTGGCCCAGTCATAGGGTGGCCTGTGTCATGTGAACTCAGACACTTCTTACTGTTTGAGTAAACCAATCCAAAATTAACTTACAGTTCTTAGACATGCCTTAGATTGTTTAGCCCATGAATAAGCCATAATGTTTGGGTTCATACTTCATGAAGATTGACTGTACCAGGTAGAAGCAGCCAGCAAATTATATTAATTCTCCCACAATGTACCACAGTTGTGTGCAAACAGGGTAACAGCCTAAAAATGACTTTCTGGTTCAGGTTGACTGGCTGACTGAGAAAATGAGGGAAGCTAACTTCACTGTTTCATCAATGCATGGTGACATGCCCCAGAAAGAGAGGGAATCTATCATGAAAGAGTTCAGATCTGGGGCAAGGTAAGGGTTATTTTTTAATTTTATTCCCCCCCCCCCCCCCAGACGTTTTGTTTTTTTCCTTTTGCAAGAAACCTGGCAGTTCCAAAATCCTCCTCTTCATTTTATCTTGGAAAGCCTAGTCAAGTCTAGAATTTATTTAATTATTACTCATTTATTAAATTTGTGTACAGCTGCCCATTAGCAACATGCTCTCTAGGAAGTTGAGTCTTCCTAGCTGACCTCCATTGAGGTCCTTCTCCAGAAAGCCCATATTTTGATGATACCTGCACTGAATTCTGAACCTGTTGTGGGGATGAACTGTGCACTGCTACAGTCGTGGAAATGTTTACTTAGCATACCTGCTTCTACTGTGTGAATGATGCATGAGAACAACTGAGGACAGTCAATTATCTGCTTTTTCTTCAGAATTGTGACTGTGCCTTTCCTCCCAATTTTTAAGTCCTTTATGATTCATTTAACAGTGCCACCCTCTCTATTCTTAACCCAAATTATGAGGAATATTCTATCACATTAATAACAATATAACAGAGCTCATTTTCCTTCTTCAAACTCCTGACTGACCTAAAACAGATGTACCTATACATGAAAATAAAAGGGGCTGTTACTTTTTACCAAGCAGTCGTACTAGGCAGAGACTATTACAGCCACTTACCACCTCTCTTTTCAAAAAGAAGTTATTTCCAGGGATTCTGCAATTCAGTAACTTGTTTCCTTTTCTTTCTTCAGCCGAGTTCTTATTTCTACAGATGTTTGGGCCAGAGGCTTGGATGTACCTCAGGTGTCCTTGATCATTAATTATGACTTGCCTAACAACAGAGAATTGTATATACATAGGTAAGTGTGGATGTATGTTAAATTCTAGTCTTATTTTGCAATGGGAGATTTTTAAAACACTTTTTGGATGCTTTGTTTTGTTTTCCTATTTGTTTAGGCAGTTGTCCAGAGCATATGGTACATGTATCTATCAGTTTGCCACCTTTATTTAAAAATGTAAAGAAATTTTTCTTTGTATAGTAGGTTGTTTCTCTGCGTGTTGTTCTGTCAACTGATTAGGAATCTCACTCCTGTCCCACCAGGATTGGTAGATCAGGTCGCTATGGGCGGAAAGGTGTGGCTATCAACTTTGTGAAGAATGATGACATTCGTATTCTGCGAGATATTGAACAGTATTATTCCACCCAGATTGATGAAATGCCCATGAATGGTGAGAATGGACTCTTTGCCTAACCTTGTCCCATAAGTGAGTCAGCAGTGACAAGGCTGGGCCTGGGGAGCTCATGGTGGGAGCAGTGGCTGCTTTTGCAGACCAGGCCCAGCGCCCCTCAGCCCATCATCCCTCATCTTTGATCTCATTGGTGGGACTCAAGCCCCCCCCCCCCCCCGCTCCTTACTGTGATCAGGGATGTGGGCCAGCCTGGATATTGGGACTTGTCCACATGGGGAAGAGCAGCAATTCTGCCTGATGCTGGTCAGTTCACTGTATCCCCCTGCCCCCTTTGCTATTTCAGATCTGGGGTTGCCCGTAGCAGTGTGAGTATGGGCGGTCAGGGTTGGGACTTGCCCATGCACCCTGGGCATCCTCTGCTAGCAGGAGGCAGAGTTCCAGATCCAGAAGGAAAGTGAGAAATAAGGGGTGATGTCAGGGCCAGACTGCTTGACACCATGCAGCCCATGGGGGCAGTCTGTTCACTCTGACAAACAGTTCCGTGTCCCTGGTGCAGGCCCTGCATCAAGTAATAAGTGCTGCAGTTATGGAATGTTTGACTTGACCCCACAGAACTGATTACATAATGATGTTGTACATGTACAGACTCAGCTCTTCATTAATATATGCATATGATCTGTGCTCTCTTAAATCTAGTTGCTGACCTTATCTGAAGAAACAAGATGGGCTGAAGAAAGTCTCCTGTTAGCTCTTTCTTACCCAACAGTAGCCATGGGATGCGTTCAGTACTCTTTCTTATTGATACTCGTTTTTAAAAAAACCTGTCAGTGGAACTCCAAAATGGTTAAATGTACATCTGCTTCAGTCTAGACACCTTCTGCTGAACATGGCAGTGAAAAATAACATTGGAAGCAGCTACAAGTCCTTGGTAGTGTTTTTTTTTTTTAAGTCATTATGGAATCTTCTAAAAATAGAAATTGTTTTAATTTTTTAATGTAAGCTGTAAAGTAGCATCTCTGTAAATAAGGTGTTCATTGTTATCCTAACTATCTTGATTAAACAATGGAGTTTTCATATAAATTCCACATCTGTTCACTAATTCTTTGAGGACACTTTGTTTTATAAATTTTGTGATACATCACCTGTCATAAATAATGCTTGGCACATAGATGCATAATTATTTTTTTCCTTTTATTTTGACAACTTGTATATAATTGGTATTTTTAAGACATGTATTTCTATTATTACATTCAAGTCCTTAAAAATCAGAGCCATGCCTAATTTGAACCAGTAGAGTGAACCCTTCTACTGTTTCATTAAAATATGTGGAATTAAAGTGGAACCTTAAGAAAACCAGCTTACTGGTTCAAAAAGATTGATTGAAAATAAATTTGGATCAGTATGCTCTAAAATCATGCTGAAAATTTGTCCTATTTTTCTTCATTTAATATTAAGGAAAGCAGGGAGCATAGCCTCCATTGTAGTAAATGGTTATCTGCCATCACTCTAAACAGCCTGGGAAGACAATATTTTTATGCACTTCAATACACTGCCTTCATAATCTGATGCTTTGATTTTCAGCTGTTGTTTGTAACTTCTGATGTTTATGAGCTGGCTGTGCCTGATCATTTATTCAAAAGCACATTCTAGTTAATAGGGATTTTCATAGCATTTCACAGTGCAAATTAACAAGGGAATAACTATAACTAAGGTTTTCCCATCTCCTTTAATGTACTGAATAGCTAGTTGTCTGTTTTTAAAAATCTAGTATCTAAACTTTTGTGCTAGATTTACCCAAAGGTACTGTTGAGCTCTGAGATAGCTTCATGCACTGTCCAATGCATGAGTGTGGTTGATGAACTGCAAGCAGAGGGTGACTTATCAATCAGTGGGGAATCATCAGGATGGCAGCTGGTGACAAGTGGAATCCTCCAGGGCTTAGTTCTGGGACCAAATCTGTTCAACCTTTTTATCAATGACCTGGAGGAGAGGATAGCCAGTCTGACGACTAAATTTGTGGATGATACCATAGTGGTGCGGTGGCCATAGCTGAGGAGCAGCTGATCCAGATCCAGGAGGGTCTGGACAGGCTATGGAAGTGGGTGGGAAACAACAGCATGGCATTCACTGTGGACAAGTGCAAGACCTTGCACTTGGGACACAGGAAATAGGTGTTACAGGTACAGGATGGGGGACAAGTGGCTGGAGAGCAGAACATGTGAAAGGTATCTCAGGGTACTTGTCAACAGCAGGCTGAACATGAGCCAGCAGTACAACATGGCAGTTAAGGCAAACAGCACCCTTGGATGCATAGCCAGAAGCATGGCTTCCAGGTATAGGGAGGTGTTGATACTGTTCTACATGACTCTGGTGCACTCAGGCTCCAGATTATAGGACAGACATAGCTAGGTTAGAATCAGTTTGGTGCAGGGTCACAAAAATGGTAGCCATGTTGGGAGGGCTGGCATATAAGGACAGATTGAGGGAACTGGGTTTTCTCAGCCTGGAGGAGACTCCAAGAGGAATTTTTTAGCGACTTGAGTTTGTGAGGGGCTATCATATGGAGGGCCATGACCTGTTCTTCCCTGCAGTGGAGGGCAGGACATGTTCCAATGCAGGAAAGCTCAAGGAACCAGGCTTCAGATTGGATGTCAGAAAGTTTTTCCTGATGGTTAAGACCCCTGGGATATGGAATGAGCTTCTAAGGGAGGTGGTTGAGGCCCCATCAGGGAGGGTGTTCAAGGAACGATTGGACAACTACATATTGGAGATTACATGAGCAGAGCTGGCTGGAGACTGGTCAGACAAGATGGTCCACGAAGCCTCTTCTGACTCGCTTTGTCTCTATACTTGAATCTTTGCTTTTCAAAAATTTGTAGTTAACACTATGCACCTGTTTTTGTCAACTTGAGCAGCTCAAGAATTGTATTGAAAAAAGGACTTTTTGGTTATGCTTCTAGAGTGCTATGCAAGCAACACTATCTTTGAGAATAGAAATGAAGGGTTAGATCCAGCCATAATCAGGCTTGACATAACTGTTTCCAGTGGATCTGTTCTAAGCCTGGATTCAACCTGATGCTCTTAATTCTCCCATCAAGCTCCAAATAAGGGTAAGTTTTAGATAGTTTCACTGTAAAGAAACCATATGAGGTGTAAAGGCTATTTTTAAGCATTTACTTGCGAGATACTACTTTATAAAGGTTTTTTTAAAGAACTTTTCAGTCATGGGTATTTGCAGAAAGCTAGAAGATTGTGGGATGCCCTCTGGACACATGTAGGCATTCATCAGCAGTGTGATTCCTTGCACTTCGTTCCTCCTGTAGAAAAATCTGTACTACAGGTTGTTTTCGGGGGGGGGGGGATGTAAATAGTGCAATGTATGGCTGTGAAAGTAGGACCATAAGGAAGGCTGAGCGCCGAAGAATTGTGACCTTTGAATGGTGGTGCTGGAGAAGACTCCTGTGAGTCCCTTGGACCACAAGATCAACCCTGACTGCTCTTTAGAAGATGTTGTGAAGAAGGGCAGCCTGCTACTCTGCAGCAAAAGTTTTCACTAAGGTAATGTGGAATCCACTAGGCAGCTGCTCACATGTTCCAGAGGTCACCCCACAAAGCCTGAACCTAACAGCTACAACTTTGTTTTTTAACTTGAGGAATGCTATCACCACATGTTCTATAACTTACCAGACTGGAGAGTCATACAGAACTTAATTCACTCACATAGTGACATTTGATCCTAGAAACAGTTTTCCCACAAATAATGCTGTGCTTGAAAGCCTATTTAGGTACTTCCTTGAAAAATCCACCAGTGGTTTCTGAGGACTTCCCTACCTCATCAAGTCTAGATTCTCTTGTTGCTGCAAGAGATTGCTGTTGTCCTGCAGCAATCCAAAGAACTCTAGACATTTAAATGAATTCTAGCAGGGTGATGAGTTGCTTGCTTTATCTCCAAGAGCCATATTTTGGAATTAAGCTGAAATCTGATCTGTATTAGCTGCTTCCAAGTGCTGTTAAGGGAAGCAGAAGCATTTGACTTCAGTAATTACCCTAAGCCTTTCAAGTTTCCAAACAAGGGTAACATGAGGGTGTCTGTTAAGACACTCAAGTTCCTTCTAAACCAACACTTTCCATTCTGGGCATGTACTTGACTGTGTCTTTAGTCTCAACTTCCTAGTGCATTAAATAATCATGCAGCATATAAGCACCCTATAAAGAGTAAGCTAAAATTGTTCGATATGAAGGATAAATCATTTGTTATTCATGAACAACATATATAGTTAGTACAGTGAATTACAAACATTTCTAAATAAAAATTCTGACTTTAATTTCATATATACACAATTGATTTTAATAATGTACTGGAAAATAAATTACAGGAAATAACTTTAAAATGCAACTGAAGACAAAGTTTCACAACAAACATTCCCACTGATTTCCCATGGGGTGAGATTGCAGTGCTCAAGGCAGGTAAATATCACAAATATATCAAAAAACTCCAAATTGTTTTGATGCATTCACACATTTACATGAGCCACAAACATTCCTTTACAGGGACTGTACTTAGCCTATCACGGAACCAGGTTTTGCCATAAACTACAAAACTTTGATACAAAATTGTATTTATATATTTATATTTTATACATGCCCTGTGGTTTCTTAAAAAATAACTAGACACACTGTACAGACAATCCTAACTCATTGCTTTTTAGCTGTAGGCAACGGTCTTCGTTTTTGGATGGATTTTCTCCCCCGAGTAATATTAATGGCATATTATATATACATGAAGGCTAAATCTGCAGAGAAAAAGCTCTTTTCTCAATATGCATATCCTTTAGGACAAGGTCTCCAAATTTTAAAAGGCAAGACAATGTACACTTGAAGATAGATTCCTTGGTTACAACTGTTACCTCTAAATGTAATTTCCGTGGAGAACAATACACATGCATTTGGGTAATACTGGTAGAAAAGGCAGTAAAGCAAGAAACAGCTAAATGTAGTGGCTCAAACATGACTTCACTGTTGACCACTCTGCTGATGTGTCAACTGGATTCATGTTAATGGTTTACAAGTGTTCAAAGTTAAAACGTTCTGTGGGACATTGTGTGGCTACATACATTCCGTTAAAAGAATTCCTTGTATAGGTTTGATAATTACTTCCCTGAAAAACCCTTTACAGTGGATATGTTTACATAAGATAGAGGCCACGCCACCTCTCCCTGGGTACCTAGAACACTAGTATCATAGTTTAGACCTCCCCACACTCTCCTCTATTGGCACCTCGCTACATTTTAGAAGCAAACAACTGAGGAAGTCTTAAACAGCTTCTTTTCCTGCAAGTCCGCCCTCGCACAACAGAATGGCAGCAAACTGGGAAGCCAGTCAGACTAAACTACATCTCTACAGTCAAATGTAAACTTTGGTTTATTGAGTTCTCATTGTATAGCAAGCAAGTCTAGGCTGGGCAGGTGAATGAGATGAGATGAACCATCAGTCTGTCTTTAATCTGGCATGCTGAGACATCTGTTCAGTCAGGCCTGCTTTGATAGAGTTTGTAACCGATTGTCTCATGGTATCTTCAATCAGATTATCCCCAAGAGGTTTTAGCACCTGCAGTATGAGAAATGTACAAAAAAGAAATAAAAGTAACTCAAAACTCCAAACCTTTTGAAACTTAAAGTAAAAACAAACTAAAATAAGCATGAAATGTACCTTAAATGTAACAAAACTAGTAACAAAAATGAGATGAGTTTGGCTACCAGCTTATAATTAATAATTTACAGGTTAAGTGGTCTCCAATTTAATATTTGATTGAACCCAAGCCACTTTAGAGCTCCTAGAACACAGGGTGCACTTTTATACCCTATAATGCAGCATCAACCTGGTATATTAATAGCATTTATGCAGAGTGGCCCAGATGGTCCTGCTTACTGTCTAAACTAGTTAAATGTGAACACTTCAGATAAAGAGAAAGGTAAAAATACTGGCTAATTTTTCTTCTTGTTATTGTTGGATGAGAGTCGCTGCCGTTGTGCTGAGGTAAGAGCACGGCGAATCATTCGACGTCTAACAACTTCAAAGAATTTGGAACACACCTAAAACACGAAGCGAGTTGTTAAAAAAGCAGCTGGCAAGAAGCAGAAAAAATACTCTGGATGTTAAAGATAGTCCCCACCAATATTCTCACCTTCTTGGGACTCCTCTGAAGCAGAAAAGAAAGACAAAAGATGGGAAAATTTAGAAGAGATCAGTAGCCAAGACATAATGTGGTTAGACACTGGGGAAAAGCATTTGCTTTCAAAGTTTAGAGGGCAATTGTGCAAGCAATCCTTTGTGCAGTTTAGCATACTGTGCTCTCCCTTGATTCTCAGCCACTTAAAATAGTACAATGATAACAATGCAGTTTGCAAACAGCACTACAGACTACACAGCAGAAAGTAACAAAGGACACAACCAGGTGGACTAGCATCCAATTTAGCACTGAAAAAAGCCGCCTGTGTTAGCAAACCAGCCTTGAAGCAGTAGGCTGAGATAGATCAACAAGAAGAACAAGCTTTAGTGAGTTCTGCATGGGGCAGTCTGCTTACATTATCTAGTCAATTTGTAACACTGGAATATAGTGAGGTCTGAGATTCTAAGAAAGCCTACTTCCTTTAAAAATTGCTAAAAAGAGGGAGGGAGGGTGAGATCAACTATCCCGTGTATCAATTCACTAGTTTACTATGCAGAGAACATGCTATCTTTGAAAAAATCTTCAGGGTGGTATTCAGTATACACATCTTTTTAATTGACTTTCTTGATGGGAAGCAAGATCTTACACAAAGATTTAACAGATAAGAAGATGAGTTCATGGGAAAATAGTCATTCAACTTCTAATCAGACACTGTTGGTCCAGCCCTGCAAATGAGAGACTTTTAAAATAACCAAAGGGATTCTCATGGATACAAGGATGTATTGTTGGAATGGGCAAAGGACTCTACAATTCTAAACTCAGCTGTTACTTCTAAGATTTTTTATTTTCCTTCTACAGTATGGGAGATTAATTTGGCTGTTCTTGACAGCAAAATTTCAGACACATCAAGTGGAAAATTAAGACCATTTTTTAGCTGCACAGTAGAACACAGTATTCTCCTGCCCATGTTCCTCAACAACTCTACTACTGGAGGAAATAAATAGCCATTAGGATTAGTGGCCACTGATCACTTTATCCTCAATAAATTTGTCTAAACCTCCTTTAAAGGTATCTCAATTGGCAGCCATCACATGGACAATTACGTTTTCCATTTTAGCTAGGTGCTATATGAAGAATTTCCTTTTCTCTGTCTTGAATCTCCTACTTTCCACCTTTACTGACTATTGTGTTCTCCTCCCCCAGACCATACATAATTTTAGACACTTCCATCATGTCTCCTTACTGTTTTCTAAACTAAAAAGCCCTATTCTAATTTATTTTGTTTAGGATTTAGAGTATTCTGTAAAGCTGTCCAGAGACAACAGTGATGGACAGCCTATAAATTTCCAACATAAAATAAAATAAACAAATTCCTCAAAGGGGAGTTACTTCACTTATGTTCCTTCTTTCTACAATTTTTCTAGCACCGTAACAGTATTAAGTAACCAGAACTGAGCACAGTATTCAAAGTGTAGTCACACTGCAGATTGTATAATGGCACTATGGCATAGGCAGCTTTATTTTCAACTCTTTAGTTTCATATTATAGCTGCAGTTATTAACATACTATGGAGTAAGCATCACTGAAAACAGTGTGACTTAACCTCTGAGTTAGGACAGGATTGTGTTATAAGACTTTGCGCTGATTTGGTTTTCTGATAAAACTACACCTCAGTATCTTAGAAGGTGATGCAGCAGAGCTTATGGTTCCCAATTTAGTCACTAAAGTATAAATTAACTAGAATCTATGAGATAATTTTTAAATCGAAGAATCACAAAGGACTCTGTTGAAGTCCACTCTGGGACAGTCTTAGTGGAAGAAAGAGGTGGATTTTTTCCTTTTCCTCTTCCTTGCTGGAGCCCTTGTGCTCCAGCAGGTTAGTAAGACCTTCTAAAAACAGAGCTGCAGGTAAAAGAGGAAAAAAATCAGTAAAAACTGCTTTCCTCTGGTTGCAGCTGAGGAATGAATTGAAGAAACTTATGTTTACGGAAGAGACACTATAGCTCAAATCTAATCACTACACCAGTATTTGACATGGAACTAGACTATAGAATATGCTCCCCAGAGAGGTCCACCTGGCGCTGACTCTCCTTCCAGTGCCAGGTAAAGACCTTTTTATTTAGCCATCATTTTAATAATTAAAATTTTAATAATTTTACAGTGTCACATTTTTTCCTTTCTTTCCTCCTTTTCTTTAGTTTGAAATGTTTATATTGCAATATTACTGAATGTTTTAATTGTATTTCATATTCTATTTTAACCTTTTGTAAGCCATCCTTGTTGCAAAGGATGGGATATAAATGTTTTAAAAAATAATAAACTTTTTTCTCTCATACAAAGATCCTTAATGAAGTACTTAATTAGCACAGTACAAAGCATAAGCTAGGCTTTGATCAAGTTGTTTCTCTAAGTACTCAGCTTAATGAATTTTACATTCAGTGTCATCACTGAAATTGTGACGTACAACAAATTCAGAACTGTGGGGCCTTCAAAGACCCAGCTCAGAAACACCATTTGTACTTACCTTTTAAGAATGAACAGCTACCTTCTGCTGCTCTCTTGAGAAGACTGACTTATGCGAATACTTCTGCTTCCTAGAGGTTTTCAAAATCTTGGAATGACTGACCACTGAGATACTTGGCAATGTCCTAGACAGACTTCTAAGACATTTACACCAGGTCTCTTTCTTCTGGTATAATCAGTGTTCATGCAGAATGGATATCGAGACCAATTTTTGCCCAACCACAGAAAAACTGGCAAGTTGCTTCAAGAAAGTAAACTCTCTTAATAAGATACCAACCTGTTCCCATAGTACTTCAGCCAGCTGATCAATGAGTGTTCCAACTTCTCTGAATTCCCCAGAGTATTTAACATATGCCCAAGTACAAAGGGAGAGAAGCGCTAACCCCATCACAAGGTTGCACAGAGTCACTATGGAGTTCATGCCAAGGAAGCCAGTTAGTCCTGAGATTATGTACATGGCAAACATGACAGCAAAGAGAGTGGCAGGAGTACGGGCAGCATAGAAGATGTTTTTGCCATCATTGTGCTTCACAAAGTTTGCATAGATTGCGTCAAGCTCTTCTTCAAGCTGTTCTTGGTAGTGGCGACAGAACTCTTCACCTCCCATCTTTTTCACACAACGGAACTGCTTTATAGCGAGCTCTTTTAAATCCTGGTGCTTTTGCTCTAAGTCTGCAGGAGCAATGTAAGGTTTATCTCCACCACAAACCTGTTAAAACAAGCACATCGATCAATTAGCTTACATGAGTTAGAGCTGTCCTACAATTACAAGACGGGACCTGCTGCCCATGGTAGCTACCACTAAAAAGAAAGATGCAGTAGAGGAGTTAGACTGGGACCAAGGAGACCCCAGTTGCAACCCACACTCAAACAGAAATCTCACATGATTTCCTTGGGTCAGTCACTAATTCTCAGGCTTGCTTACCACCCAGGGTTGCAGCAGGGATAAAATGGGAGGGAAGCAGTTCTGCAACCTTAGGCAGAAAGACAGCATACAAGTATAATAAACAGAATATTCAAAATAAGTTGATGAAGTTTCCTTTTTACTGTTCCTTGGAACATAGTAGCTGCCAGACTAGTCAGGCAGTATCTTCAGAAAGATGGTTGCTTGTGGCTAAATCAGGCTGGTATTTGTCCACAAGGGCAATCAAAGGACATGAGTTCATTTCACTTCACCTTTATATTTAGCACTAGATAACAGAACTAGTGCTATCCAAAATCCTTCTAATGTGCTAGCTGAGCAGCTCATTGGAGGGCTTGTAGGCTTATTAATTGTGGTTAAGAGAATCACACTTTTCCTTACCAGCCCTCCTCTGGAGGTGTATTTTTAGCTCCAGCCACCTTTAAACCACAATTCACCATTTCACAATACAACAGCTGAACTTCACTTAAACTGCTAAAGAGGTATTTGTGGAATTCAACTAAAGGGATAATTCAGATTCAAAATGTATCCTAAGGGCAGTACTAATGCAGTTTTCTCCTGCATCTTGTATAATGTACTTTACTCAAATAATACTGGTTTAATTGGATTTAATACAAAGTTCTATACATATTTCTTCATTAGTCTAACAGCATACATTAGTCAATTCACATCAGTGAAATACCTGCTCCATTCCTTTGTTATAAGTATCTTTTGCTCCAGCAACTGCAGCCAGGTTGTTCGCTTCTGCTGTTGCCTTAAATAAAAAGAGCACAACATGTAATTACATCATGGATAAGTTTTGCGAAACTTCACAAAAGTTTTCCACGTATCCCAAATGGATACTTAATAAGTGTCTTGTCATGTTTTTGTCCACCTAAGATCTTGTATCATTAACTGCCCTACTGACTATGAAATGTCAGTTTTCACAGAGAACCCTTTGGCAAGCTTAAAAATAGTTTTCTGGGTTATTATGCAACTGAACTGCAGAAAAGCACCCACCCAACACTTTAAGACAGTTTGCCCCAACCTAATGCAATCTAATACATCTGAAAAATAGGAAGAGGGGATAAAATACTAGCTTGTGGAATGTAGGCTGTTTTATAGGAGGTGTACCAACTAAAAACTGTCATTTGGAGGCAGAGCAAATTACTTACTACACCATTTCCTTCCTGAGAACCATATACTGAGATGAGCTGCCATACACAAATCTACATCTGAGTTACTACAGATCAGAGAGTCTGACATTCTAACTTGGACCTAAAAATACTACTGTTAAACAAATGGGAATCAGAAATCTCTGCTGCTGTACTGCAAGTTACCCAGTGATCCAGTAGTAGATCCCAATTTATCTTCTGTCCACCTTTCTTTAAGGGAAAGGGAGCCTACTTAAGCCCTGTGTATTTGATGGGATCTTACAAAATGGCTATTTGCAACCCGCACCATGCAGATCTGTCACACTGGCATTTAACATGAAGATGGTTGTCAGAGCTCAAAATGTGCATGCGTCCAGCCTCAGTTTCACCCCCAGTTACAAATGGAAGGGATAAAGGCTGGGAGGTGACTTCCCAAGACCCTATAGTAGATAAGTTGCGGCTAGCCTTGAATACCACTTTTGGGTAAAAGGAAGAGTATAAACTGAGTAAGAATTGCTAGACTATCAATCTGCATGTCACAAATACAAGGAACAGCCTCTAGGTGACAGAAGTCTCTACTCGGGAAGGAACCTAACACAAGTTTGTCATATTAGAAGCAAGATTGTTGGGACAGCCTCTTTTCCACCAAGGCCTGCTCAAGACCAGTGCACCCTGAATGAAGACAGAAGGGAAGCCCTGGCAACAGAGCCTGTGTATCAGCTCTGGGGGACAATTTCAGCTGGCTCAGGAGAACCTGGGAGCTTTGGCAGAAAGGAAATATATGTGCACACACACTGCGGGGGGGGGGGGGGGGCAGAGCAGGCTGTGCCACATAAAACTTGTAAGAGCATAAGGCAGCTGCACTGGATTAGACCAGTGATGGCTAACCTGATGTTCTCAGGAAGTCCATGAACAGAATGCAACAGCCCTTTCCAACTGCTGTTCTGCAGCAGTTACTGTTGATGGATATTTGAACATGCTATACAAATTGTGGGGTGGGGGCCCCAATTCAATGCCCTATACAACTGGCATTGGCAACATAGAATTGGCAATATAGATTTTACAAGGAAGCCTGAAGCATCAGATTAAGCCTACTGATTTGAAAGGAGGCCCTCAATTCCCAAATCTTTATACAGATTTCAAGCATTTCTGTTAATTCGTGTTAACATACACCAAAACCTTTTAGTTACTGCTTGGATTTGTATGCTGCCCCATTGCCCAAGGGCTCTCTGAGCGGTTCATTTCACATAAACATTAACTTTTGGCATAGACACGTGTGAAACTTTACCTGAAGCATTGACTTAGGATGAGGTAGTTCCTCTCCTTGATAGATTTTAATATAAGCCTGAAAGTGAAACAAAAAAGTTTATTGTCTTGTTTAATTTGACTTAAAAGCAATAGGTTTACAACACAAAAATCTAAGTCTTTTCTTATTAAATGACAACAATGACAACTGCAGAATTTGTCCTCCAATCATGTCTATTCACTTTCACAAGATTATATTCTACAATCTATACATTCAACAACTGTAATATTGTATAGGGAAGACAGGCAATAGCCGATTTCCTAGGATTAAAGCTTTGCTTCTCATACACACAATATTAATGATGCCTGACATGCTTCTTGACTGAGCTTCTATTCACCAATAGTTGTATTTCTTACAGAAAAATTCAAGGGTAAGTAAACTGTACACCAAGCACCTGCTTGTTCTGGATGACCGCATCTAATATGTTCTCCTGTGTTTTGGAACAAACAATGCAACCGCCACCACCGGAGCAAACTAATATTATTTCTTTTTTGAGCAACAGTTTACAAATGATCTAGGAATACTTATTCATACAACATTCTAGTGACAGCTTCATATAATAGTGCAACAGAAACTAGAGATGTGGACAAGACAGGATGAGATAAGCTTACGCACATATCAAAAAAACATAGTTTATATACTATGCTATAAAAGAGCCATGAGAAGCAGCAACGGCGGACATCAGTTACAAGATCCCATAGGACTGTCAAATGGCTGGTAGCTCCTTCTCTACACCAAGAGTAGAGTTACAAAATGTAAGGAGGACAAGGCTAAAGAATCAGCAACTCGTTATCTTGCTTTTAAATTTGCTGGCCATAAGGTACAAAACTGCATATTCCATCCTGACAAATTTATGGGTCTCACTCACATAAAGGGCTACAAGCAAAAGGGTCTTACAACAGGGTCAGTATTTTTAGGAACTGATTAATGAGCAGAATTATTTGCCTACCTTAAAATATTGCACAAGGTCTCTACAAGTCACTTTTGCACCATTGATTTCTTTTTCTACCAGATTTTCAGGGGCAAGTAGCAATGGAACCAGATTCCGTAACTCTCTTTTAAAGTCGTCATCAATGTCTAGTGGAATTAGTCACAGAAAGATGTTGCATGTTTGCTGTAATTAACACAAAGCTCCTTCTCTTCAGGGTCAATAGCAGCTTATTCAAACATCCCAACTCAACAGATTCAACATTCAAAAATAAAAAGCTCAATACATTAGCCAATGTTGCATTAAAAATATTGCCAAATCCTTTGAAAAGACTAACCGACAATCAGAGAATTGTTTTTAGTTTAAGTGGTACTCCTGAATCAATTAACACAGCATTGTTTTATTGTAACAATTTCATTGCAACAATCTTTTATTGTAACAATTAGTATTAAAAACACTGCCAGCTGTTAAATTTCAGTTGTCACAGGTATTCAGATCTCATATTGTCAGGTACTATTATGCCCTACTTAACTGTTCAGTGAACAGATGTGATATCAGCAAAAACTTCTCACTGAAAAATAAATCTTGCTTAAAGTGCATAAGGTTGATATTCAACCATAGGAAGAACAGTCACCAATAATAATAACTGCCACCAAAGAAGGCAGCCATCTTTTCTATGTAAAAGATTCTGCTAAACTTTCTATACAAAAGCATTATGTACTTGAACTGTTCACACAGTTTTAATACAGCCAACTTTTCAAAACAAAAGCCCAGTTCTGATATAACAGGAAACCAGCATTTCCTCAGTACACAAACAAGTCATGGCTTTTTTTGAGGGGGGGGGGCTGTTGTGCAGGTGAGATCTGGAAGCTTTTGTTTCTGACTTAGCCAGGAACTGAAAGTGAGTTACTTACTGTGAATTTCCATCACTTTCCATGAAGTCAGGGCACAGGAGACTTCCATTGTGAGTTAATTCCTCCTACTGTCCAGGGCACAAAAAGCTGACAGGTTTGCCTTGGGCCTGAGCCCTTCAGCTCTTCCCAAGCTCTTTCCTAACTAAGCTTTAGACAGAGTAGTAATTGAGCAGCCAGAAACAGAGGAAGAAAATGTAGAGACAACTCAAACGAGACTCAGCAGAACACCTGCCTTAGGGATCTGCCCACTCCCTTCAGAAAAACATAATTCAAGGAAGTGCTCATCTTGAAAGAGGCCAAGCACTTCCATGAATTAGGAATGTCTCCTCTGCATCAAAGAAGAATGCAACTTTATGGTACTCAACTTTCAATTTCCATTTGGTGCGAGGAGACGTCCACTATCAGATATGCGAAAGTTACGAATCCCACACAGTGGGTCCCAAAGCAGGCCGATCTTAACTTTGAAGGACAACCTGTTGCAATATTTTAGAACCAAAAGCTGCTTCAGCCAAACATTTTTGTTCAGTTTGATCCAGTCAAATATTAGCAAAGCCCTTGCTGAATGAACAGAGATGATACCTCCACTTAAGAACCCGCTAAGCTGCCTCCTAGAAGTGATGCCCTCTTTCAGAAGCTGAAAACAGCTAATCATGATGAATGACTACATAAAGACATCAATGCATTAGACAGAGTAAGTAGAACTAAGTTATCATGAAATAACCTAAAGTTTGAAGGTTCTTTGACTGGACCTGGTAAACATTTGGAGGCCCCTAGATTACCCATTGCTGATCAGGATCCCTGATTGACAAGAAGTTTCAAGATTTTAGGGAGGATTCTTTCCAAGCCCCACATGAAGATGCCCACAATGAACATGGGACATTCTGCATGCACAGAAGATACTTTGCTACTGAACTATGATTCTTCCTTGGAAGATACTGAAGTAATCCTATTAGTCTTATGACTACTAGTAACAAGTTTTCTCCTCTGCATGAGTAGGGGACCTATTAAGATGGCCCAGTCCAGAAGATGGTTTCTGCAGGGCTCTCATGAGGATTTTGTCTAATATAGGTAAACTATTGTAGCTTTTAAAACATTTGCTTTTTAAATTTCATATTGCATTTTTATTTGTTTTTCAGCGCCGGGCGAAGACCTTTTTATTTAAGCGGCATTTTAACTGTTAGTATTACTAGATTTTATCTGGCCAGGGCAGCTTATTTTATATTGTATTTTTGTTTTTTTAATTTATGTTTATATTTATTCTAATTTCATATTATAATTATTTTTAATTTATTGTTGTAAGCCGCCCCGAGGCTTCGGCGAATGGGGTGGCATAAAAATGTTTTAATAAATAAATAAAAATAATATTATGTTTTACTGTGCTGTATTTTTATTGTATTCTTATTTTATCTGCTGTTGTGAACAATTGAAAACTTCAGGTAGTGGGTGGTATAGAAATATAATTAACCAAAATGGCGATGACAACCCTTTCCTTTATTGGGCAACCCAATATTCCTGGATGTTTTAGAATGTTGGCAGTAACCACTCATGCTTCTTTATATTGGGGAGCAAGGTGCGAGGAATAGTGAAGTGCGAGCATTCATTCTTATGAATGTTATGCTCCTTCTATGTTCAGCAGCTAGCTATTGCCAACAACCTGCTAGTTTGAAAGAAGGCTTCATCTTGGGGAGAGCACCCCCAGGTAGCTTCTTCCCACTCTAAGGATCCCTGGAAATGCTTACACACACTCCCAAGTCCCTTGGAGTTATGTCCAGAAGAGTCTCGACTGAGGTAGGAACAAAGGGGAGACAGGTAACCCCGTGTCCTCCAGTTCAGAAAGAATTCATCACAATAATTTTCTGTTGCTGTCTCACATAAGGGTCAGCTGCTATAACAGTGGCAGTGTCAATCAGGCATGGGCATTAGCTTTTGCCTTGACACAACAAAATCCCTGACAGAATTGCTGCAATCTCAAGAACAGGCAACCAGTAGTTCCTCCAATTCAAGTGAGAGAGCTGCTTTTACCAGCAGCAACTTCAGTCTTGACAACTCTGAGAGAGTTACTATTCCTTTTCCTTTCCAGACTCAGAGTTTTTCTTGGTCGTTGGAGCCATCTTGCAGCAGAATAAAGAGCCAGGAAAAAGAAAGCAATTGCTTTTAAAAACAAAGGCAAGATGCTGGGAAAGAGTGTAAGCCAAACTGCAAAGTCTATAGAGATAAACAGATGCAGAAATTAAGATAGCAAGAGGCCTGAGTAGAAGGGGTTTGTTAAACATAGAGCTAGAACAAGTTCTGTCCGAAGGAGCTGTGCCTGGCAGGAGCCACAGAGGCCAGACCCAAGGCCAGAAGCTTGGTCATGTGTTCCTTACCTGTCTTGGGCAGTAGGAGGAGATAACCCAAGATGGATGTCTCTGCATTCCAGGTAGAAAGTGTGTTTTGGTTAAATTATAGTGTAAACTTGCCAGGCTCAAGCCATGGCCTTGCTCTACAGCCATTATTTAAAACACTTTTGAATGTGAACAGTGAACTCTGGTCTGAGTTAGAAACAGAAGCATCTCATCCCCTCCTCATGGCTGCAAAAAAAAGAGGAGAATGAGAGCCTGAAGATCATTGTGGCTCATTACACAGAGAGCCATAGTTTTCCTCTTATGACAGCCTAAATAGCTGTTACTCCCACATTAAAAATTGTCAGAAGGCAGAAAGTAGGATACGTGTACTATAACTTAATGTTTCAGTATCAAGAAACAGTAGAGCCCCTTTTTATTTTAAACTATTTTTTAAATTTAAACAATTAGCCCTCAAGGTAGCTTTCAAGATAAAAGCCATACAAGGTGATTACACTAAAAATCAGTAAGTACATGTTCAATTTTAATCTGTAAAACATTAAGAACACTACACCATGTTTTTATATCAATTGTATATTTTTCTGGAAGGCACAAGTGTATCATCCTCTAATTCTCTTTCAATAAACATCTTATTTCTATCAAGGTTCATCTGGACCGAAATTTAAAATTATGCACACTTAAATCTATTACTAGCAATCACTGCCTGCAGTGCACTCACAACATCAGTAATATAATAGAAAATCTCCTACCATTTAGCCTCCCATCAAAGTGTGGGTTAGTTGCAACTTTAAGACCAGGGTGCGGCAAGAGGAAACAGCCAAGATTACTGAAACATGAATGAATATGCTTCCTTACATTCTGGAGTTCTTCATGTTGGTGTAACTTCACCTAGGAGCAATGCACATTTTTCAGAATGTAAAAGCAGCGACTCTACCAATCATTCTGAAAGCACAGATTAGTGTTTCATTATGCAGAACATTAGAGTTGGCCTAATCCAGAAGTAATTACTTGTAGGTTCTATTTAGCTCAGCTAATAGTTCTCATGGAACAAAGTGTTCATTGTTTGGGAACATGGTTTTATTTGGTCTTATACAGAACTGCAAGCAAATATTTAGTACAGATTGTAGCTTACCTGCAACCGTTTTTCTAGAAATTGTTGTCCTCCTGTTAAGCCATATGGATGTTCGTAAGGATAGCTCCAGTCTCTAATTAAGAACATTAGTGTCTACATAGGAAAAACATAAATATCAATTAACCATCCTTCTGGCAACAGAAGAACCTATTCCTGAAACTACTGAGGGCAAAGTAGCAATTACTAGACGTAGTTTAAACAGATACTAATCCCAAAATACAGCTAACCTCAAAACAGAATGACTGAGCTTAGCTTGCTCTGCCTCAAACTTCCAATAAGGTTCTATAATAGCATACTTAGCAGTAACCAACCGAGCTAAGCATACCAAGGCTCCACTGTTACTTTTAAACTTGGTAGCAGACTGATCCAATCCTGTATATTTTTTTAAACACCTCATAAATCAATTTACTAGTCTGTATAAAGCTGTACTAGCATGCAATGCCCCTACCTCCATGACCAACATAGAAACACAGGCTATTGGCCTCTGAGTCAGTTAAAAAACACTTCCACCAAGTAAGCCGGTAGATGAAGGACAGATCTCCTTAGTCCACAAGCTTGCTACCTTTCTGTGCTGTCATGGAAGAGGCAGTTTTCCTTCCTCCACAGCTAGCATGAACATCAAATATAGGCTGGTGGAGGCAGAATGGAGCTATCTCTTGCACCCCTCGGTCTGCTAACAGGGAATTGGTGGTTGTCAACGGTTGCTAGGAAATAGTTAAAAGCACGGCTGTATTAAAAGAACCCAACTGATCAGACTATTTTTCAAGATCCTGACACCTTAAGTGTTTCATTTATATATTTAAACAATCTAAAGCTGTATTTTTAACATCCTGAAACATTTTTTCCTCATTCCATTAGAGTTATTTTGGATGCTGTAGTTTGTTTTAAAATAACACCTACTGCAGCTAAAGAGAGTCAACTTTTGACATTGCAAGAACTTGATGAGCGCATTGGGGAGCCAAGGAAAACCATGACTCCATATGCATTACATAAATGTAAGATTAAGTGCTTTGTAGTTATCTTGCACGTTGGACAGAACATGCACATGCTATAATTAATCTTTTCCAGCTTCTAATTTAATGTGTGGAACTGCTTTAAGAGAAATATGCATGCAAAGAGTAACAACTGTAGGAGTAATGTGATTACCTGAAATGGCTTTTGGTAAATTTCTTCCATAGCTAACCGTCCATACTCTGTAAACAGCTAATAAATGAAACTATTAAGAATGCATACAGAAAGTACAGAACAAACAGCATTGCAAAACATGCTTAGACAATAGTTTAGCATTGAATTTCAAGTCCCTGTGATATCAAGCAAAGCAACGGCAATGACCACACTTAGAAAAAAACCCTAATATTCTAACCTATTAATAAGGTCTGTGGTGCAACTTTTTTCTAGCATCTCAATGCTATAGTGCTATATATGAGAAACTTACTTAATTAACTGTGTCAATAAAATGACTGCTATTTGAGGTTCACAGTCCCATTCAATACTATTACATTGTAAGAAGAAAATGAAAAATGCTTCATTTGCCATTTCAGGCTATAATGATAGAGAAGTACTATTTCCCCTTTAAATTTCAGCAACTGAAAAATTAAATGGGCTAGCTCACAATGTAAGAAGCTCTAACCTGAACAGTGTTGCTAGTTACTGCCAAAAGCTTGAATGAAATTATTACTTGAGCAGTGGCAAGTTCCTCACATCATCTGGTGTTGGAAAGTTTTGACCATGCTGGCTAACTCTAAGCTAAATAGTAAGCTCAAAACCAGAGAGAGCACCTGAACTAGAATGCTAATAGCTAGACAGATACTAATATTTCCATGCTCTTTTACAATGCATTCCTATGAACCAAACATGCATCCAGTGCTTTGTCACCGTAGTCCTTTTCCATAAGATCCCAAATTTAACAGAGGTCACTTGGGCACAATTTATTTGGATGTCTAGTGAGAGCATCCATCCATGATACAGAATCCTTTTGTGGAGCAGACTCCATAATCTTAGGATTGAAAAGGCAGATATTTGTAGGCAAGAAGTTATGTACAAAAGAGCTGGAAGCCACAGAGAAAAAAGCCCAGTGGGAGCGAAACTGGTGTATCTAACTACAGAAGGTTGTATTCTAAGGGCAATAAGCAGAACCTGTCTTACATTACACTCTGGCACAACCATCAAGCCTTTAACTCATTAAGAAGAAAACGTTAATAGAAGACTAATGGTGTGCAGGGTACTTGACAAAATAAAATTCTGTTACCATAGAGACAGCATGGCAAGGTCCATATAATGGAATATTAAATATTTATCTTAGATTAAATATCTTTGAAAGGTGTGTGTGTGTGTGTGTGTATTATTGAACTATCTGTGCTATTTCATACATTTTCTACATAATAAAGCAGTTATAGTCCAATAGTGCTTCAAACTATTTTCCTTTTTTAGTGGGATTGTATCACCAAGGGAGCATTTTAGATCAACTGGATCCCAATTAAGATTAAGAAAGGAAAAAACAAGAGTAGCCCCAACTGCAACAAGTTCTACTCATAGACCAGGGCTTGAGCCCAGCATCCACTGCACAAAGAACATTTCCACAGTCAGAGAACATCTGGAACAGAAACACTTTGGGAAGGAGGGGCTTTGACAGCAACTATTTGCCACCTTCCATGTATGGAAGGCCTATTTGTTGATAATGCAATACTAAGTAATAGTGGCAAGCTATTATGCTGCCTGGATATATTTACCTGCAAATGCTGAAGATCATCTTCTTGGATGTTCTGTGATAAGTTGTATACCTACAAAATACATAACTTTCATGTTATCTGGAAAAGTAATTAAAAGGTGCGTAAGGCAAGGAAGTGTTGCATCAGTTACTAACCAGACTAGTAATCATGGGTTATCATGATTTGTTGTATCATGTCCTAAACCCTACCAAACCAGCAGTAGGAAAAAGCATTAACCACATCCTGCCAGCTCCTTCAAATTCAGTCCTAAGCAAAAAGTTACACATACTTTCCTAAGAAAGTCATAGAAGTAAAGAAAAAAACCAAAATGCTTCCATTTATTAACTAGGTAAGCAGAGACCTGTTTAATGAAATCACATAGTTGAGAATTATTTATTCATTTTAGTTAAAAAAAATATATCCCGCCCTTTACAGTGTCTCAGTAATTATGGTTACTCTAATCCAGAGAAGATGTGCATAGATCATTTGCTTTATTAGAGACTGTGGACATCTAAACCTCACCACTCATCAACACAGAGCATCCCCTTCCAGTCTGGAAAGTCCACTGAAACAGTATTAAGACATTTCCCTGCTCCTTCCTGCCCACTAGAACCAAATATAAGCAGGTTGGAGTAATGAGCAACAGCAGAAATGGCTCCTGTGCTTGGCCCTCACCATAGAAAGAGACAAAAGACTAACTGCAGAAGCAACAGGCCAACAAGATACCCCTGCTTCCAAGCTGCCAAAGCAGCCACCTCAGTTGATCCTCAAGGTCAGGAGATGGGGATATATAGTCAGGAGATGGGGAAGGCTCTTTTCCAACTGGACCTTCAGTATTGTTCATATTTCTAACCGCTCAGCAGCCAAAGCACTAGTTGTATCATGTCTCTCTTCTCCAGCACGTGCATGGAAAAAGAGGCTGATTAAGTTCTAATAGGCCAGTAAGGTTAGTCTGCTGCAGCAAAACCAACCCACATGTATGCACTAACTGAGGATAACATTCCAGGTTCTATCCCACGAAAGCTTATTCCATAAAAAAGTTATAATCTTTAAAGGTATCACAAAGCTGCTGTTTGGAGGTAAATATGACACTGTACATTATAAGCCTATTACCTCTATCTTTCCTCCAAGCAGCTTAGGATTCTCTTCTCTTGTCCCTATTTTATCACCACAACACTGTGTGGTAGATTAGGCCAAGACTTTGAATCTGGATCCTCCAAACTTAATCCCATTCACCAACCCCTGCACAAGCTTCACAAAGGGCTTTCAAGATGCTTGCCATACTTCAGAAGAGCCCTGTATTTGAAACCTTTAACTACTACTTGAATTATGTCCTGTGGAAGTCAAAAGAGGAACCCAATAGTTTAGCTACAGTAAACTAACTTCAAGTAACATCATCTTTCCTATTTAGTTTCCAAGCTACATGTTCTTCAAAGCAGCAGCCCAACAATCTTTAAAAGCTCCCACTGCTATCCTTACCTGGACCGAACTTGTCATGGTGCTTAAAGCAAATACAGTTGCACAGTCTTTGATAGTTGATTGGCTATCAAAGGCACCTTGGGTATCCATTAGTAATACAGCAACCTAGAGAATATATTTTTCCAGAGAGGTAGAATTAGTAAATGAGCAGTAAATTCACCTTGAGACTAAAAGTGAAAATAATTATGAAAGAACTCAATGAAAGTAACTTTATCAGCAGTTTTTATCATGCTACCTTGCTTACCTCAACTTAGCTACCTTAAGAGTTATATTTAAATTACTATCCAGAAATTCTACTGGCAGCCTTCAGGAATTTTAAAGATTGTTCAAGTAACCCATCTACCCTTCATTTTGTTGCCAGTCATATTCCAATCCATAGTAGTCCAGAATGCTTATACCCTGGGTAGCCATAACATATAAACTGAACCAATATATTTATATGGTTATTTCTGGAACACATGAATGCTACTACATCAGTGGTTCCACCGTTATAAAGCATATGACAAAGTTAGGTACTTCTAAGTCTTACTTGGCACACTGATGCAGCACTAAGCCAAGTTTTAGTTCAATGTAAACAAGTTTCCACTACTCCCAGGCTCATTTTGTTCCTCTTAACTTGCTCTCCTCCCCACATGGTCTGGAAGCTTTTGCTTCTACATTTGCCTAATCACAGCTTATTGATTCAATGTGGTTAAACACTATGGTTAAACACAAACTACAATTAGTTTAACACAAAACAACTTCAAACTGTGGTTTATGAAGCTGGCTTCCTTAAATTATCTGTGTTTAGTTTTCACCATAATTTCCCCATTAGATGAATGGCAAACCATAAATAATCTAATGCAGAAATTAAAGATGTGGGGGGATGAAGAAAGAGGAGCTTGTAGAGACAGTGGGTTTGTTCACCTGTAAGCTGTGGCTAAGCATTATGCCCAATGAGATACATTCTTCCCCACCTTTGTCTCCTTTCTTACACTGTGTACAAGCAATCTGCTTCTGTGTATGAGTATTTCACTAAAACATTTGTTTAATGAAATTACTTGGAAGTTTTAACATATGAAACACAAGGTTAATCATAGGCAGAAGATAAATGATTTAGGAAAATATATCCTGCCTTTTTCCTTTCAAGGAACTCAAGGCAACTTACATAGTCATCCTTCCTCCTCAGTTTTACCTCACAGAGTTGTTGTGAAGATAAGTGAGGCTGCAAGTATGTGACTGGCCCAAAGTCACCCAGTAAGCTCCATGGCTGACCAAGGACTAGAACTTGGAACTCCCAGATCCCTAGTCCAGCGCTCTACTACCAGATGGGCTACCATGGTCAATATAGCCATGAATATTCCCAAACAATTTCCCAAATTTGCTGTATGACAAGAATAAGAACTGTGGCTATACAGCAGTGCTAACATTTTGCTTCTGCTTCCAGTCGAGAAATCAACTGACCTTTATGAATCTGATTCAACTAGATTGCTTTGTTCACTACAAGGGCAAAAACTAGAGTTCCAGCACAGATTAGCTGCAAACAGAAAGGGCACTTTTAATCAAAATTTTGATCAATGAGATACTTAAAACGTGCCTCAGAGGCCCAGGTAAGCTGCAGACAGTTACTACAATGCTTCTCAGCCTGCAACAATTCTTAAAAAACAAAGCCTCTGCTCCTCCTGTCAAATTTACATTAAGTGGGAAAAGTTAGAATATAACAGGAAGTTGCCTTACACAAAGTCAGATCACAGGCTCACTATGGTTTATATCAGGTTTGCAGCAGCTCTCCAGGGCTTCAGACAAGAGTATTTCCACTGTCAATTCTACCCCTTTTTGTATAAATACAGAATTTTCCCTCTTAAACATTTTGCATACACATGTTCCAAAAGAAGCACATGGGCCCACAAAAATTGCCCACAACTCCCAGCATGCCCCAGCCAGGATGAGTGGTTGAGACATGATGGGATTTGCAGACCTTTACATTAAAACATATATACGATTGCACTCTAAGGCACTCAAGACACATGTCTAAATACTAATTAAATGTCTAGTGTTATTGGATACTTTTTGATTTGTACAGATGTAGATGGGATCCCTGAAGGATGAGAACCACCATGTGTGCCCTGGATTCTTGCTCTTTTCACCTCATAAAAGCAGCCAGAAGGGATCTCACTGAGTGAACGTGAAGCATGACTAATTCTCTCTCAGAGGAAGCTTTCAACCTGCCTAACAGAGGCAGTGTAAGACCCATGCTGAGAAAGCCGTTCCTGAATCCAATTACATTAAATTGTTACTGACTAGTTTTCCAATATTCCATTTTTGGGGAAGGGGCTAAAGTATTTAGTGGCCTCCCGGCTACGCAGACTCCTGGATGAATTAGAGTATCTAGATTCATTTCAATCTGGATTTAGACCTGTTGTGGTAAGGAAACTGTTATGGTTACCCTTGTAGGTGACCTATACTGGGTACTAAACAATGGGAAATGTGCTCCTGTTGGTTCTGCTGGTTCTCTCAACAGCTTTTGAAGCCATAGTATCCTTTTTGGCTACCTCACTGGAATGGGAATTGGAAGCACTGTCCTATATTAGCAACTTTCCTTCAAGGAGGGGCAGACCCAGAAGGTGCAGCTGCACAATTCCTATTCAACTATATGGCCATCGTGTTTCAGGGTTCTGTTCTGATCCCCTTACTATTTCACCTATGTATGAATCCATTGGGAGAGGCTGTACAGAGCTTTGGGGTGCAGCATCAGCAGTATGTTGATGACATTCAACCCTCTTTCTCCTTTACATCTCATTCCAAGGAAGCTGTTTCAGTACTAAATCAGTGTCTGTTGGCAGTAACAGACTGGATGGGAGCAAACAAATTGAAACTTTATCCAGACAAGGCAGAAGTACTCCTTATCAGTTGGAGGGCAGATCAAAGAATAAGGATTCAAGCCTGTGCTGAATGGAGTTATGCTCCCCTCAAAGACCTTGGTCTACAAATTGGATGTGCCTCTGGATTCAACCCTGAGTCCAGACTTTAGTGGTGGCCAGGAGTAAACCTGCAGAGATGAAACTAGTACACCAGCTGTACCTCTTCCTTGAGATGTTTGACTTGGCCACAGTGACACATGCCTTCATTATGTCCCATTTGGATTATGCATTGTACATGGGGCAGAGTGTTCAGAAATATAGCTGGTTCAAAGAGCTGCTGTTGTCTGGAGTTGGCTATGAGGAGCATACAACTCCTTCGCTAAAAAAGCTTAATTGGCTGGTCTATTTCCAGGAACAATTCACAATGTTAGTTATGATCTATATGACTCAGGTCCAGGCTATCTGAAAGACCATGTTCTCCCCAGTAGGACAGCCCATCCCCCAAGACCCTTCTCTGTGTCCTACCTCCATCACAGGCACACTTGATGGGAACACAGGAGAGGAAATTTTCAGTAGCTGCCGCAAGGCTAAGGAACTCACTCCCTAGGGAGGCTATTCTCACTGTTATGCCCTCAAGAGCAGGCAAAGGGCTTTCATTCTGTCTGGCCTTTGGGAATAGTCTGAATCTGAGACAGAGTTGGGCTGGTTCTTATGTTCTGATCATTTTACTGTTTGAGTTTGGTACTCACATAATTTTGATATAAGTGCTGAACTTGTACAAATTATAACTTGTCCTTATTTCTATTTGTGTTTTAACTGTTTGTGTTTTTAATACTGTAAACCTGTCTTGAGTCCCAGTACTGAGACTAGGGAAAATATAAATATATTTATTTGAAGCACTCTTTTCAGTAGCAGTCATTTGGTTGGATCCAGAGCTGTAACAAGTGGGATTCCACTAGCTGGACATTCCCCACCAGTGGAAGACAATCTTTATCAACTTAATTTCATAAATATAACTAAGATATTAGGTCACATGGTTGCAAAGTATTTTGAATAAGTGACAACAAAAAACTAAACCAAGTTCTTCTACCCAGATATTGTCTGCCCCTGCATTAGAGCACTGAATGATAATCCTAGCTAGATCCTACATGCAACCATAATCTCAATAACTGGCTATCATAATGCAGCACTTGTATATTCTATTCAAATATAAATAAGCTTTTTATCATTATTAAATTACACTTATATTCCCCCTCCTCTCTATTTTATCCTCATAACAACTCCTCTGTGAGGTAGGTTAGGATGAGAGCCAGCAACTGACCTAAAGTTGACTAGGGAGCTTCATAGTCAAATAGAGACCAGAATTCAGAACTGCAGAGTCCCAGCAAAACACTCTTAACTACTATACCAAACCAGTAGCTGAAAGATTAAATTACTAACATGGCTAATAAACTAAATAATAATCATCATCAAGATATATTCGACATCTTAGAGGGTACAGTGCTTATTTCCTAATATGCAGAATAATTCCAAGCATATAAGATATACCAGCATTATTTTCAATGTAATATCACACTGACACCATACCAGAGGTGGACAAACCAAGCCTCATGTGCCTCAGGCAGCTCCAAGTTTATTTTGCGGCTTGCCACCCACTTGCAGCTCTCAAACATCTAACCCTTACCATACATGGCTCTTCCACTGAGCAAATTTGATATACAGTAGTCCCCCGGAATTTGTGGGGGTTATGGTCCTAAAGCACTCACGAATTGTGAAAAACCGTGAATTTGGTGCCAATGATGGGCGCCAGCTGCCAAGGTGGTGTGGGTGGGAGGCACAGGCCAGGCTGGGCGGGGGGGGCGTGCACATGTGGCGAGGCAGGGGCAGGCACGCACAGAGATCGTTTTCTCCAAACGAGTCCAAACTCGGAGGAAACAATCTCCTTGTGAGTAAGCCACCGCACAGAGAGGCGCCAGCTTACTTGCAAGGAGATCGGCTTGGACTCACTCGGAGAAAAATTCCACGAAAGACTGAGGCTGCAACACTGAACCGTGACTTCACAGGGGTATACTGTATACCATATACACTAGCATGTAAGGTGTCTTGCATATAGATGAGGTCA